GGTAGACCTAAATTTTCCAGTATTTGTGTTATAACTATTTCGATGGGTGGAGACCTGGAGCCCCCCTATTTATACAAAATAGCAGGCCGTTGAATCAATGAAGATCATGGGTGGTATAACCTTGTCAATAGCTAATAAGGCTCCTACACCAGCGCAAGATCTTCTTTGGCATTGGTGTGACTAATGGCGTATGACGGAATGTTAAACAGCAGAAAAGCTTCCTGATATGAAACAAATAGATTATTAAAGCCCCAGAAAGATTATCCTATTTGGTTTTCGGAAGCATCGATGTATGGAGCGTTATTTGTGTGATATCTGAGGTGAATCAACAATTGAAGAGCAGAGGCGTCGCTGGCCTTTACAATCTCAGAGGGCTCAAGGCTTCGGTCCGCATTTATCCGGCCTTCAGCCGGGTTTTATATTAATATATTATACTTTTTTAAAAAATTTGCTAACTCTGAACATATATTCTGAATTTCATATTTTGTCATTTATTATATTTTGTCATTTATTATATTTTGTCATTTATTATATTATACATTCCAAATAAACATGAATTAAATAGTGAAAACAATACAAGACATTTCTAAAAATAATATTTTTTTAATTATAAATCTATTTATTACAGTATAAAATATATTCGATTGCTGATATAAAAAAAAATTGCGTCAAAGGTTAATTTATTCATTCATATGACTCAATTGATAATAGTTTATAATAACCACATAATGCAATATTATAATTCTTAGCAACTTACATTGACAAATATATAGAATGGACTAATAAATAAAATTTTATAGGTCTAACCAAATCAACAATTCTTGAAGAAGAGAATATAAACCACCAATCCAAATCATAAAACTATATGGTGGTTAGGGCTTCCTCTTAGATTACATGATGGAAGAGTTAGATAAGTAATTGAGAAATATCTTGTGAGATATTAAATTTCTAAAATATTATCTTCCATATATATAACGACTACACAGTTGACAATTATTGCTTTCTAAAATATGAAATCATATGCTCTCAGTAGCTAAAGTAATAATCTTAAATTATATAGTCACACAAATAATAGATGCTGGTTAATTTGCAGTCCTACCCATGACACTCACGATGTTAACTTATATCAAAATTTATTATGATAGGTAAGTTGATTAAACAAAAACACTTAAAATCTTTAGAAGAAATTATGCAATATATTGAAGCCTTAAGTTACATGCACAGCAAGGAGGCCATATTATAAATAAAACATTTTTTAACTATTTTAAGAACCAGAGTGATATGATGAAAGCATTTAAGATTTTATATATTATTGTCGCACCACCTCTAGTTGGTGTATTATATCTTAAAATAATAGTAGTTTGTAATAATATCAAAAATATCCGTATTAAAAATTTAACTCAAAACTGTTTTTCAAATAAGAAAAAAATAGGTTTCCCTAAAAACATATAAAAAAGAAAAGATCTAATTTATTACATCCACTGTGGGATGAATAATAAGATACGTGATACGTGATATATAGCGCTTTTGCCTTCTAACGTTGAAGATTCAACAGAGCTACGCTAGGTTTTCCTCATTTCCATCTAATTGGAACAATTTAATTTGGGTATAAAAATAAAAATATGAGGAGCCCTCCACACGTTTGTGGGCAAGCCGCACGTACTTGTAGGCACAACATTTCGAAAAATGTTGCTTAAACCTCTATAGGCTTTAATTTAGAAGGAGTGGGACAAAGAAAAAGCCTATACCCGAGAACTACAATATAATTTAATTACTTTAAAGGTGGGTGATGGCTGATTTTAAGCTTAATTTCTTTAATGTAAGTTATATCTGTAAATAAATATGATTAAAATAAAATAATATTTACCACCGGATGAACCGAACTTAAATCTTTAATAAAAGATGTTTAATTTTTAATAATATTTTTAAATAAATAGATGGAGTTAAAGAATTAAATCCAAATTGTACTTCTATTTATTATCAAAAACATTTATTAGTAAAATTTATTAAAATATTAACTGTAATATATTATATAACTGTCAAGTAAGTCTGTAAAACAAGGCATTTTACTAAATATTTTATAACCAATTATATATAATAGAAAATTATAAAATATATGTCTACTTAGATTTTATAAAGAAATCTCTTATATATAATATATCTGTTCTATACATACATAAATTTATGGATTACTTTTTCTTCCTTATACCATTTTATTTATTCAGATAATTTTTGATAAATTTGATTTATATAATAAAAAGACTATTTATATTTTTAAAATATTATTGAGCCATAAATAAATTTTATCTGTATATTCTCAGATTAACTATCCATTCTCAGTTTAATTCTCAGTTTAGTTACACCCAGTCACGATCAGCTTATGGATCGCTGCATCTGATATAACCGTTTTAAGTTTGGTATACCAAAAATTAATCATGCAACTTTTAAATATGATTTGATATCCTTTCTATTTTTTTTAAGAGAACATTATTAATGGAATTCTTCAGGGGGTTCAGTTTTTCGGTATGATGGAGGATTATCTTCAAAGTTGGACATAAAGCTCTAGTATTAATAATAAGTGATTGTACTGTATTTGTACTATTAGGTGTGAATTGGTTCAAATAAACAAAATAATGGCTCTGATTATTATCGAATGGGGATTACAAAAATTTTAGCAACTGTATATGAACCACATCAGGTTTGAATAAGAAAAAATTTATAAATATTTTGTGTAAGATATTCTCAAAACAAGCATTATCAAATGAATCTGTTATCATTAATTACCAAATCAGTTGTGCTTCTTTTAGTTATAATACAAAATCTAAAAAAGTAAATCAAATCAAAGTCATTTTTGAGATTACTCAAATATTGCAAAAAATTATTGGAATATGTTATAATTGTTTATATTCTGCCAAAAACTCAAATAGATATTTAGAAGTATCATAGGCGTAGCCAAGATTTTCATAAGGGGGGGGGGGGAAATAAAAAATTTCGGCGGGCTTCGTCCTCAGTCCCCATTTTAGGCGGGCCTTTAGCCCGCTTTTGCCCGGCCGTCGGCCGGGTTTCCTAAGTCTATATGTAGTCATAAAATATTTTTACAGGATAAGAGGTTAATTTTAATTAAAAAAATAAGCCTGGAATAAATATGAAATATATTTTTATTAGTTTATATAAAATATAATAAATTACTTGTATATACATTAATATAAAAGCATGGTAATAATTTATTCCATACAAGTATAAGATTATTTATAAAAAGTAAGTAGACATATAGTTGATATTCCTCTATTATATAGAATTAGTTACAAAATACTAGCTAAAATTCCACTTTTACAGACACATTTGACAGTTAGATAATATATAACTGTTAATATTTTAACAAATTTTACTAATCAATGCTCTTAATAATAAATATAGCAACAATTTGCATTCAATTATTTAACGCCATCTATATAAATATAAATAAAATTGAAAATTAATCTTCATATTATTCATCCCACAATGTTTTTAAAAGATATTTTCTGATGTCCTTATCAATATTTTATAGTTTTCTGTAAAATATATAATTCGCTAAATTGGTAAAAATTATTTGATTGTCATATAATTGATAAAATTAGATATACTGTAAATCTACGACACATAATATTCCACTGTTTGTATGCCGAACGATATTTAGTAATAAATGATTTATTATGAGCGATAAAAAGACCCACCGCTTGAAAAGCATATGATGCAAAAAAAAATTCCCCCCTTACTACATGATACACATCTAATTTTTAATAAGGGTGTGAAAGAGTTACTAAAATTGTCCTCTTATACTCACCATCCATAATTGTTGATTGGCATGTAGAGAATGTGGTGATTATTAGTATTAGTGTATCTAATTCTTAAAATAAGGGTATAAAAGAGTTACTAAAAATATCCTCATATACTCACCATCCATAATTGTTGATTGGCATGTAGAGAATGTGGTGATTATTAGTATTAGTGCATCTAATTTTTAAAATAAGGGTGTGTAAGAGTTACTAAAAATGTCCTCTTATACTCACCATCTATAATTTGATTGGCATGTAGAGGATATCGTAGCTATTGGTATTAGAGTTACCGATTGACAAAATTATCTTATTAACATAATAGCTTAATTAAAAAATTAATTTAAGAACTGGAGTCTATATCTTCTTCTAGTTCTATAGCATTATCCTTCAAAAAGTTTTATATTTTCGGTTTAAACTTTCGTAAATTGGGATTTAAACGGAAGTTATTAATTTTTTTTGTTTAACTCTGTCACAAATTTAGTATTTTGTTAGAGATGATTAATTAAAATAAAATTAAAATTAATTAAAATTAAATATTAATTAAAATTAAATATTAATTAAAATAATTATGATATTCGAACGACCTTGTATAAAATACTAACTTATTTCATTTTATTTTATAAACTATATAAACTTTAAAATTTAGATATGTTCAATAAAAATGTTAATTTAATTTTTTATAAATAAATCTTTGCATTTTCATCTTGACCTGCCACCGTTGTCTTTTTAAGTGTATTTAAATTAAATAAATGTAGATTTATATTTTAAAATTCAAGTTACTTTTTTTTTAAAATTCGTATTCTCCTGAAATCGTGAGTAAATGCAAAAATACTTTTGTATTTTTTTTAGAATTTAAGATCCTAAATACAAAAAAAAAAGAGTATTTGTATTTGATACTTTGAAGTTTTCGTCTTATTGCCCAACCCTGTGAGGTGATAATGTACAAATATTGTAGTAGTGTCCATGATAAAACGAAGTGTTTCTTGTTTTGTCTTTTAACTGTACTATAAGTACAGTTACTTTCTTTTTGCATAGTAAATATAGATATTATTTTTTTTATAAGAATGTTATCTCGGATTGGTTTTGCTTATATCGGGAAATATTGAATCGGGTGGATGAAAAATTTGTAAATTGGCACAACTCCAGCTTTATATCTTTTCTTTAACAATTTAAATTATTATTCAGATTTTACAAATGGATGGAAGTGTCAAGCTGGTATCCTCATGTTCCATCTGTTAGTCTCTTGTACTCTGGGAATTTCCTGTGCTTCCAATATTTCAACGAGCCAACAAAAGTTCCAGTGTTCTAAAGAAATCTCGGAAAACTATACAGAAAACATGGAGGGGAACATATTTCTGATAGATCTGAATGGTTCTGAAGATTATGGCATGGTAAGCGGTAATGATAAGAACAACAATGACCTGCCAGGTATGTAATAAAAATAATTATTTCTTTAACTAATTATCATAAAAACGCATTTCATTTCCAATCAAATAAAATTATATATATATATTATTCCAATATTCTTAGGTTTGTGTTTGATAGCTAAGGTCAGGCAAAGTTCAGAAACAAACTTTACCAATTCCCTTAGTTGCGAATTAGTCGCCTTAGAAATTTACCCCAGAATTCCTTTCCACGTGATAGAACCTGCTCAAGAATCCGCTAACATAGCTTGCTAAATGATTTATATACCTTACTAAACGGAAGTTGTAAATACAATTACATGGTTAATTTACGAAAAATTTGCGACTTAATTTTGTATCATTACCAATAATAATAATAATAATAATAATAATAAAAATGTTAATGTAACGTTGTTTCCAGTAATTTTTGGAAGGAAGCATTTATCAGTTTTTTAGCAATTTCTAAACTGTTTCGATTTTCAAAATTGATACATAAAAATAAACAAATTAAAGCAATGCGTGGCAAGATTATTATAAAAAATTTAACATTATTTATTAAAAAAAAGTGAATAATAAATACAATGAATACATAAATGCAATTTTACACGTATATAAATTTTAAATATACAAAATTGAATTTATAAATTTATATTAGAAGGATATCTATATATATATCATTGTAGATACCATGTATAAAATATAACCCTTATCGGAGTAATCTGGAGATAAAGAAAATCTTTTTTTGAATTCAATATCAAGGCAGAGGAAATGTACTTAAACTCGGAACTCTAGCTGAGTCGAAAGTACCTAGCAAGTTTTGCTAAATTTGGTAATTCTAACTGTGTTTTCAGCATGTCAGTTCTCAACTTGGACTTGAATAGATTAAAACTTATATTAGTATCATATCCATTAGGACATATATTTTTATACGAGTAACTGCCCGATTAAAAAGTGGCGTCGATGACCAGCCATTTAAAATTGGCGCTGATATATAATGTCTAAAGGGTCGGCGGCGCACAGGCCTACGCAGGTGTTTAGCATGGTACCCGCGATTTTGTCCTGGAGCCCGTTGTCGGGAGACAGGTGTTAATCAATCAACAATTTTACAGTCCTTGTTTAGATGGGGAAAAAAAATTATAAACTTCTTTACAATCTTTTACTTCTTTTCATTTATTTTTTTTTATCCTTTCCATTTTATTTATTTTTCTTCTAAATCTATATTTTTTTTTACAAAATTATACATTTTTATTACAAAATTATACATTTTTGTTACAAAATTAGATAATTTTTTTTTTAAATTTGTCAATCTGGTAGAAAATATTTTTTTGTTATTGTTTTTAAAATTTAAAATAAACCCCTTACCCACATATCTTTGTATGATAAATTGCCACGTATAATTGTATCATTTACCTAGTATCGAGATATCCATTTTTCAATCGTAAAAAAATTTTTTTTTTTTTGTATAACCTTTAAAAATCAAATTTTTTCGCCTGAAAAAGAATGATGAAGATGACCCTATCAATCTTAGTTGCGCTGCAGATGATTGGTAAGCATCATTTTATTTATGTTGTTTTTATGATAATCTTTTAATATATAATATGATGCATTATATTATAATGGACCCTAAGCGCGGATCATTCAGAACCGATTCAGACAGCCTCAATTTAGTTTTTAAAATTAAAAAAAAATTAAAAAGCGGTCAGCTGCATTCGCATTGATTTTTCTTAGACTGCAGATTTTATCCGCCCAAAATGAGGTCTTCTATACAATACTTCTCTATACACGTGAAGTCTAAGAAGTGGGACTTAATATAATTGTAACATACCTTGACAAAGTTGGCATTTCGAATTGGATATTGTAGCATTTTTTTTTACTACAAAATAATTTATTTTTCTATATATAAAAATTCCCAAAGTGAATTTTCACCGAATTTTTGTCAATGATAATTAAACAACTTTAAATCGATTCTTAACAAGTTTAGTTATATATTAATCATTTTCAAGTTGTTACGCAGAACCAAGTAAAAATAAAAATATTAATTTTTTTAAAAAATGATCCTTCACATACATATATATAACTTTACGATAGAATTTTTTATTCTATTTTACATTTTTAACCAAACTAATTTGTCTAGTCTTGAGTATTTCTACTATAGGAGTTTTGAATGCTTAATTAGACTGTCCATTTACAATTTTATGCAAGGAAATATATATACCTTTAATATTAAAAAAATCGAGGTTTTTATAAGTCTTTTGCAATACATATTGCCTTATCTTAAGTATATCTATATAAGAGTTTTGGATGCTTAATTTTTTAAACAAGGAAATATATATTGTACTCTAATATCCAAAAGTAAGGTAGTACAATACATATTGTCTCGTCTTGAGTATTTCTAATATAGGAGTTTTGAATGCTTAATTAGACTCTTGTCCATTTACAATTTTATGCAAGGAAATATATATACCTTTAATATTAAAAAAATCGAGGTTTTTATAAGTCTTTTGCTATACATATTGCCTTATCTTAAGTATATCTATATAAGAGTTTTGGATGCTTAATTTTTTAAACAAGGAAATATATATTGTACTCTAATATTAAAAAGTAAGGTTTTTATAAGTCTTTTGCAATACATATTGCCTCATCTTAAGTATATATCTATATAAGACTTTTGGATGCTTAATTTGACTCTTGTCCATTTATAATTTTATATAAGGAAATATATTATATATACTTTATATTAAAAATTAAGGTTTTTTATAAGTCTTTTGCAAATACATTATTTTTTTTTAAAAAAAATGGTTTATCATTCAAAAACTATTTAGGCGAAGACAAAATAAGTGTTGTTAAAATACCTAACTATGACCAATCTCTATTGTGGATTATTCAAGCTTTTAGCCTAAAAAAAATGAATTAAGTCTCTAAGCAGAGTCTCAGCTCGAAGAGATTGATTGGAATATTTTTGGTTAAAAACATGGCTACACTGTTTTATGGTTGACTAAAGTTAGGTAGTTTAGCGAATATTAGACAAAATAATTGTCACTGTTAATTTTTTTTTCTTCTGCCATTGCTAATGTTTTAAAAAGGTGGCTATAAATAATGGTAAGTAGGACGAGGTATATTATGATAGTTTTAGACACCGTGTGGCGGAAAATTAAAAAATTGTATCATTTCATTAAAATCCGCCATTTTAAAATGACTTTCTATAGGGGGCGTCTATTGCAGCCTATGAAATTGATTACAGCTGATTACGTAAATAGATTCCATGTTAAAAAATATATATCATTATTTTAGCTTATTAATACAACAGAGGCCTGCCAGTACAAAAAATTTATATTATTTGTTTTTATTTATATTTTACGTTTCTGATATATAAAAAAAATATGGATTCAAATTGATTCACGCGATAATACAATGAATAATAATTATTTCGTAACACTGGTAGATATTACTCATTCTCTCTCGAAAAATATATTGAGGGACAAACGTCTAATAAAATCAATCAATCATAAAAACTTTTATATCATTTGTTTAAAGTTTTTTTAAATTAGAAAAATCTATAAAAAAAACGGAAATAGATGTATTGTAAAATTAGGAAAATGAGGGAATGATGGAAGGGGGGGGGGGGTGTTTTAAAAATATATATTAAACACTGGAAAATTTTATGTATAATATCTTAAATATATAAATACTATTTTAACCTTATTTAGTGCAAGCTACCAATAGTATTATATATATTTTTTTTTATTCTTATCCATAATTACCCATACTAATTTCCCTGCAAAAAAATTGATTATTTCTTTCATATTTCATTTTTTTTTGGAACATCAATTTTACAACCACATTTAAGGGATGTTTATCTTGATCTAAATGTTATAAAAAAAATTACATCAGTATACTATATATGTTTTTGGTTCCTTATAAAATTAAGATAGTTATTATATTAGGACTTTAATAAAATGGGAACTTGATTTTGAACGAAATTTACCCTCAATGTATTAAAAAACTAACAGGAAGAGTGTACCTACCTTTTGAATTTCAGCTTTCTTTCTTTCTTTCTTTCTTTCTTTCTTTCTTTTATCATTAATTTTTTACAAACTATTCCCCAAATTTATATTTTGCCTCTATTCTTCATGCGATAAATGATTGCTTTAAGCTTTTTCAAAAAAATTTTTATACATGCCTAAATTAGCAATACGAGTAGTATTGCTAATAATAAAAGGTACGAGATAATATTTTATTTTGAAGGTTATTAACAAAAATTAGGTATGTTGTAGAGAGGTTTAGAAAAAAAATTCAGGGATAAGTTTCATAGATCCCAATATTTTTTTAGCAAATTCATAAGAACTTCACTTATTTTATAGCTAGCATTTTTTATTAATTTAATAAGGACACCTAATTTTGCTAAAATTATATTTCAGCCTGTATGGAGGAAGCACATACTCCGCAAATTTCAGAAAGATTTGTCATTAATTTTGACGTAAATTTTAATTTACATGAAGAATATGCAATATGTATATATATATAAATTATCTAATGTAGTCCAAGTAATATTCTAGGGTTGCTTTTTTCTTTGCGAAATTCGTTTATAGATGTCTTTGTAATGTCATTCATTATTTCTCTAAAATCAATGGATTTTTTTAAAATATAATATGTTCTCTAATAATTGACCCTTTCTAAACTGCTCCATTATTCTATATCAGTTCTATTAGTGTCTATGTTCTAAGATTCTGCAACCTAACAACATAATTATATCCCTTTATATAAATAAACGATTATATTTAAGTTATTCAATTTACAAGGACTTCTATATAATGAATTTACTATATACAAGATTAAACGCTTTTATAATTAAATAATATTACATCTATACCCTCAATATAATGCAATAAACCTTTAATATATAATATAATCTATATATAACATTCATGAGTAATCATTTTTAATTGAACAAATCAATTTTCACAGGAGTTTTTATCGTAGATTTGTGCCTATAGAATGAATTGTATTTAATATGACATACCAAATTATAGCTTTTGGTATGAATTTACATTAGCGTTATTCTTGAAAACTATGATAATCTAAATTCACATCTTACTTGATATATATATATTAGTTTAATGCATCGTTAGTTCACCTTAGTTAGTATGGAATATATTGAATCCCCTAGATAAGTTATCATTAAGTATCACACACACACTCTTATAAAGCTAATTGGGGAAAAAAAATTAGAACATTTCTAACTATCTTTTATATATAAAAAAAAACATAAAGCTATTTAATTGCCAGCAAATAAAAGGTTCTATATTGGATATTGAGGAATCGTTTACTATGCCAAGAATGATAATGATAGGGCAAGCGGAGTTAAGTTAGAAATAAGTTTTTATAACTCCGTTTTTCCTTCCTTGTATCAGTTTCACATAGTTGCCCACAGTTTTATAACATCTGGCTGGTTCTGAACTTATATTTTATAGAATTTTAGAAAAATAGAGATTTTGACAGTTTTTTTTTCTTCTTAATTCCCTGACTTTATCACACAAAGCGCTATTTATTAGCAAAGTGATTTCGCTCAATTTGTCGCAAATTTAACCCGTTTAATAACAAGATATCAAAATACATTTCTAAAAAAAATTTAAACAAATTAATTTTTTCTTTATTAATACATTAACATAGACATATTTCTGTATAAAAATTTTTATTTAAAAATAATCATTCATCATACGATTTTTTTGAATGTTCCCAAAATAAAACATTGGGAGGTAAACGAGTTCATTGAGCATTTTATATGCAGAAATTAGTACACATCACACTTATATGTCGTTATTTATCTTTTAACATTTGCAACAACTTTGACAATTTGACCTATAACTTTTCCCTACTTATCGGATTGATGGGCATCTTATCATCCTTGATATCTGGGCCAAAACAGTCGAAGACTTCGTACAATGTCTACCTCGAGAAAGTCAGAAAATGGGCACCACCTTCATTATTTTCTCCGCAGTTGAAGAGGATAATCATTCAAAAATCTATCTAATAAATCAATTGCTCCCATATGTTAGAATGTGATAATATTTATAAATACCTTATGTTTAGAACTCCATTGCTTAACTTTATTTAGAGGATTTCCTTGCTACTTGTTTAAGACTGCTATTGGACTACCAATCTTTTATCACTGAAGGTTTCATAAGTTCCTATGTGACTTTTTTTCATTGGTTTTTGTATCTAACAGACATTTTTCGGTTCGATTTATGCAGACTGTTACTGTGCAACCTAAACCTCTTCTCCTAGTATTACGTAAAGTAAAATAATTATCTAAGAATAGTGTCATGTCATGTTTTTGAACATTAGAAATAACACTTGTTAATTTTTCTCGGGACTCATTCAGCAAGAGAACGTTGCTAACCTTCTCGGTATAAATATCAAAATTAAAAGGATATACACAAGATGAAGATAAAGCACAAACTTTACCTCCAAATTACATTGACTTTTCTCACATAAAGATGTATATTGGTTTAGCTTCCATAATAGGGGATCATTTGTTCGTGCAGACTTCTATCACAAATTATTGCAAATTTTTTTTGATCAATAATATCTAAAAATGGTATAATCATCGCTAATTTATCAGTTTTATCGAAAATTGTTAGCCAGATGAAAATATCACTTAATTTGTATAAAATATGAACCTACATCCATATCTTGTCTAATAATACGTCTACAGTTGTTTTTAAATAAAATAATTTCATGATGGCTATAAAAAATTTTACATATAAATATTATACCGTATATCTTTGGGGAAATCTATATCTCTGAGGTCAATATTTTAAAGAATTATTAGTTTAACAAATGAGTTATATTATAAAATATATAATTATTTTTTTAAATTAAAAAAATATATCTGAAATCATACCATTTACAAATTTTAAAAAAAACGTATAAATTTAACAAAAACATGTTCAAAAATTTTTGTTTGATTCTTAGAAAGAGAAGAATATGGCAAGACAGGCTTTTAATTCATAAATCGCAAAGCAAAAGAATTATCTAATGCCAGATGTTCCAAAAATCAAACATTTGTGATAAATGGGCTATAATAAATTTTTTTTTTTAATAATAAAATTAAAAAAATTTGAGTTTATTGATTTTAATATTTTTATTTTTTCTTCCAATAGAATATATATGTAAGTTTAATCTTTTATTTACTTATTTTATTTATAGTGAAATATATAATAGGAATACAATTAAAATCAAATATCAAAATTATTTAACCCTAATTTAAAATTTATGATCACTTTCCACGAATCATATGAGCCTAATATTAACTTAATAATTTAGGTATGTTAGAGTAGATATTTATTGTGTATCAAATATCTTTGAATCATAATCATATATTTTTTTTCTATAACTTTATTTCGTATCAAAGTAGCTATCATATTATATCATAAATCCCATTTCCAAAATATATATAACTATCTCTCAAAAATCAAAAACATATCTTTTCTATTATATATATTTCAATCATTGAAGTTAAACAATAATAAAATAAAATAAAATGTAATTTAAACGATGATATTATTAACTGAAATTTAAGTTTAGCAATAAAATAAACAAAATCAAAACTAAATATAAATCTTATAATATTTTTGGTTATTGCCTGCCGTAAGACATTATAAATTTAAAAACTAAATATCATTTAAAATAAAACTTAAAATTTAAAATAAATATATATATAAATTAACAGTAAATCAAAATTGTTAACTGTGCATCTGTTTGTAAATATTATTTTTATATCATTAAAATGCATAACATTTTATTTAAAAAAATTAAACTAATATTTTTAATATATATATTTATATCAGATGGAAATGGTAAACCAATTTTATTTATTCAATTACAAATGTTTATATTAAAGTTGGGAGGAATGGATTAAGCTAATTTTAATATTCCATTTCTTTTTTCTACAACCAATCCTTCTGTACCCCGCCAAAAACACTTGAACAATTTTCGATTTATCATAAGAATTGGTTTTAATATTATTTAGAAAATACGTTTCATCTAAATATTAACGTTCTCTCCTTACAATCCAAATATTTAACGAATCTTATAAAAATTTAGTAATTTTCGTAAATGAGAATCTCTGTAGTTTTAGGCAGGGTTGGCATGTCGGTCAATTGACCGGTCAAATTCGGTCAATTGACCGGAGGAGTATTTGACTGGTCAAATACGGTCAAATACTCTAAAATATTAATGGCGAATAAATATTTTGATATAATTAAATAGTATGCATTAAAAGCATGTTTATCAATCTTATTATTTTTTTATTAAAATATAAATATGTAATTTTTCTAAATATAGTAATATTTTTAGTTATTTTTTTGCCTAATCATTGCCGTTTCTCGCCTTCTTTATTTTTTTCAATTCATTTTTCTTAAAAAAAATAAAAATACCCGATTTATCATAATCATAATATAATTTTTTCATTCTTATTTTTTAATAAATTTAAATTTTATTTAATATTTAGCCGAGTATAAATTATATTAATTCTCATTTGTTTTACTTACACTTGCTATATTTGGTTTTTAAAATTAATTTTCATTTTAATTGTTCTGGTCAGATTTACGGAATATTATTCAATTCTGGTAAAAAGTTTATTATATTATATTTATAATATTAAGAAATTATTGGAATAATTGGTCGATAATTATAAAATAGTTAAGATTGATTAACTTTACAATAATCAAAATCATTTTTTGTTAAATTTATATATATTAGGGATTATGGTCAAACCAAAGCATCATGTTTGGAAACATTTTCAAGAAGTACGCGATGGTAAATCAGTTAAAGCGGTGTGCAAGTTTTGCAAGATGTCCTATATCACCCACGTTGATAGAATGGTCAAACATTTATTAAGCAGCTGTACTATGTGCCCTGTTATAATTAAGGAAAAATTTTATTCAAATTCCAAAATATCAACCTCTACAAAAAATATCACAAATGTAATTTGTAATACTTCTAAGTCTAACTCTAATGAAGAATTGGGTGAAATTAGTGAGAATGATTATCAAATGAACAATATTTTGTCTTGTGACTCAGGAGAATTTGATTCCCTTATTTCTAATCAATCTACAAGCAAGGCGATTAAATATAAATCTCAATCTTGTATAACCGGTTTCATAGATAGAATTAATCCCAAAGAAAAAAATGAGCTGGATCAATTGTTTGCAAAGGCTGTATATGCGAGCAATTTACCTTTCCACATCACTGAAAATCCCTACATCCAAGAATTTTTTAAAAAAATACGTCCTATTTACACATTACCCAGGAGAAGGCAGCTGGCTGGATATCTTCTAGACAAAGCGTCAGGTGATATGGAGGTGAGAGTTGCAGATATAATAGATAAAGCTCCTTACTTATCAATTGTATCAGATGGCTGGAGCAACATTAGAAACGAGAGTATTTTTAATTTTATGGTGATGACGCCTGTTCCAGTGTTCTACAAATTTCTAAATACTGAGGAAAATCGCCATACGGCAGATTATATTGCCCAGGAATTTAAAAATGTAATTCATGAATTGAATCCGATAAAAATATATTCTTTAGTTACTGATAATGCCGCTAACATGAAAGCAGCCTGGAGAATTCTAAAATCTGAATCTATTTATAATCATATACAATGTTATGGTTGTGCAGCGCATACATTGCAGTTATTCTTTCACGATTTTGAACGTTTGGACGCCTTCAGTGACCATATTTCAATAATTAAAAAAATTGAGAAATTTTTTAAGAATAAACACATACCAGCTGCAGTATCTTCCCGTAATAAGAATCTTCATGGCATACCATCTACATTAAGTACAATTAGCCAAACAAGATGGGCATCGTCAATAAAATGTATGGAGCAAATTCAAATATGCAAGAAAGCTCTAAAAGCATCAGTTGTTGAAGAAGCTGTTTGTGATAATTGTCCCATAGAAATTACCAATAATATATTAAACAAAGAATTTTGGACGAAAAATTTAAAATTTTTAGCTATACTCCAACCTTTAGCTACCTCATTGTTGAAAATGCAAGGGGATACATGTACTTTGGCCCAAGTAAAAAACGAGATGCTTAATTTGGAAAAACACATAATACAATCATGCCCTGATTCTATATTTTCTCCATCTCAAGAAAAAAAAATTAAGGTTATGTTTGAAAAGAGAAAAACTGATATAAATACATGTGCTCACAATGCTGCTTATTTATTGGACCCCCAATATCAAGGGGAGCATCTTACTAATACTGAATTTGATGAAGCATGTAATATAATACAAGAATTGGGTATTTTACAAGGTGGTGATAATCAAAATATTTTGAGTAATATAGTAAATTTCAGAAGCAAAAGCGGTATATTTAATAGCCATAATATGTGGAAAGTTGTAACTTCCATAAGAAACAATCAAATTTCGGCCTCAAGTTGGTGGAATGCATTTTGCCCACCTTGCCCATTAAGAGAAGTCGCTAATATTTTACTAACATTTCCTAGTTCGACTTCTTCTTCTGAAAGAAATTGGTCGGTTTGGGGCAATATTCACACGAAAAACAGAAATAGATTAAAGGCTTCTACAGCAGGAAAATTAGTAAGAGTGTATCATAATTTAAGATTGATTAAAAATATTAAAGAAAATAATGATATTGAATATGAATCGGAACAAGACTCTTCCACGGAGGGTGAAACATTGACTATAGAATGAATTAAAAAATATTATGATATTTATTATTATACATAGATTTATTATAATATTATATAAATGCAAAATAAAGTTAATATTGGTGTAAAAAACATTTATTTGAATTTGACCATATTTGACCGGTCAATTGACCGAATTGTATTTGACCGGTCAAATGCACAACCCTGGTTTTAGGGGAATATGTTCAAGAGGAAATTTTATTTTTTTTTTTAAATAATAAATGCGAATATAATATTCCAGCTATAAAAAAACAAAAAACAAAATAGGTATCCAACAATGTGAACATGTTTATATAGACAAGAAAGGCCGAATGGCAATTGTTTGTTCAATGCCACCCTTTTCCAGTGTAATATTAATAAACCTAAATATTGATTTATTTATAAATATTTTAAGATTATCCATTTAATAATAATTCCATTATTATCAAATTTAACTTTCAAAAAAAAAAATTAATACGATTTCTTTCAGGGTTAGGTACAGGAATGGATTGCTTTGTTAGTTATATATGTATGTCGTATGGGGATTCGGAATCCGTTGGGATTAGAAATCCGTTGGGATTCAGAATTCGTTTTTTAATATCCGGTCTAACCGGAAATGCATTCTAGTATGTGTGTAGAGTATTTCCCCTATAAATTTCAGCCAATTTCGGCCATAGACATTTTAGTATTTTTCTAATTTATATCGAAAAATCCATATATAAATATTAGTATAAATTAGAAGTAGTTTCTAAAGTTTCCTGGCAAAGTTGGCTGAAATTTATAGGGCTAAATACTCTACACATACCAGAATACCGGATAATTCCCACGATTTATATTTTTTAAAAAAAAAATCAAGCACACTAAATTTTGAATTAAAAAAAAACGAACAAACAGATTAATGGTCACGTGATTATGTATGTGGGAGATAATACATGCTTACTTGAAGATCTTAGCAAATTCTCGAATCTTATGAACTCTTACCCATATTCAATATACGTCACTATTTTCTTACCCCCAATAGGTGTTATGAGCATCGCTTATGAACACAAAAAAAAAACTGCCAAGAATAAATTATGGATCATTTTTCCAAAAAAATTTGTGGTGTTTTATATCTATTCTATTATAACTTTTTCTCTCAATTTTAAAAAATGGTGGAATCAGGTGTTTTTATTTTACCAAAATGGTGGGGGGGGGAGGGGTTATCTTAAATTTTTTTAAAAAAAAATCTTTTTATCAGAATATTTGTTTATATTTAATATATATGATTTGATTTTCAATATAATTATATTTATTAATCATTTGGATACAAAAAGAAGAGGGGTGGGTGGATAAAAATACCTTTTAAAAAATAAATAAATATAAATTTTGCGATTAAATATTTTGATAGTCGCCATTTACAATATATAATGAAATAACGTTCTTTCTTTCTTCTCTTCTCTTCTCTTCTCTTCTCTTCTCTTCTCTTCTCTTCTCTTCTCTTCTCTTCTCTTCTCTTCTCTTCTCTTCTCTTCTCTTCTCTTCTTCTTCTCTTCTCTTCTCTTCTCTTCTCTTCTCTTCTCTTCTCTTCTCTTCTCTTCTCTTCTCTTCTCTTCTCTTCTCTTCTCTTCTCTTTTCTTCTCTTATTTAATCGGAAAATTAATATGCTTTATGCATTCGAAAACCTGCATTCAACAAAAAAGAAAACTTAAAAAGTAAAAACCACATTTCCCGAGAAACTAAAATATGAGGAAATTTCAGAGGAAAACAATGAAATTGGACATTTCATTTTATTTTTTTAAAAAAAACATACAACCAATATTGAATTTTTTTCTTTTAGACTTCTTCATGTATAATGAGGAATTCAACGTAAATAGGATTGATATTCATTACAGTTAGAACAATTAGAAAAAAATTCATCATCGATTATATATTTAAGGCTTTCTAAAATTCCAAATAATAATTAATAAACAAGAGAAAATTAAATTACTTATTGTTTAAAATAACACAGCCATTAATTATGAACAAGAAATAGAAGATGCAAAATTTAATTTATTAATATATATGTAATTAAATTCAAAATAATTCTAAAATTAACATAAATAAAACTAAAAAAACGTATAAGAATATTAAATCAAACTAAGAATGGAAGTTTCCCTTTTCATTTTTCTTTCTTCTATCGCTAAATTTAGTGTTGATAAAATGGCTCGTTTTAGGCCGATTTTTTAAAAACAACTCAACATTATAGCTAGGAAAATATTGCCTGAGAGTCGAGATTTTGTCATGTGATGTTCAATCCTATGTGCCATCTGTGAGCTTAATCTTTTAGGCTAGCATAATATTGTTTTACGAATAAAAATATTGAGTTAGCCCAACAACGCTTATTACATTTTGGATTTGAGTATTAGATATCATCAATAATTATTTTATATAATTGTCATTTAATTTTGCTTTACAATTTAAAACATTTCAATCATCTTTTTACAAATATTTTATATATTTTAAAATTAAATGTTTCTTTAAAAATCAATAATTAAATTTTTATTTTTTTTTGCAATACACGTATTCGACACTTATAGAAATTGGTAAAAAGCAAATATTTAATTTGTTTCTCAAAAAAAGGTTTAAAAAAAATATATTTAATATTTAATTTGAGAAAACTGGGAAATAATTTATAAAAATATTAATAAACTAAAAAGAGATTTTGAAAATTTTTTTGAGCAAATACTTAAGGAAGGAAAATATTTTTTCATAATTTAACCTAAAAATGCCAAATTAAATGACCATCTCGTCGTGTATATCAAAATTAATTATATAACTTTCACAAAGGAATTTATTATACATTTGGCAAAATCAATCAAGGTTCTTCGCTAAAAGAACAATAACCCCCGAGATATAAGATGATTTCCTATCATATTTATTCATAATTAATTATAGGTATTTACGAATATAAGTGCAACATATTTTTTTAAGTTGTGCCTAATTGGTAAATATTTTGGGAAGATGTTTTGATTGAGGTATATTATGTAGAATAACAAGAAAGTCAAAGCTAACGCTTAAACTAGGAGTTGGTTTAATTGCTTTTCTCTACAACATATATAAATGATTGTGATACTATAAATGAGCGTGACTTCCATTAAACAAATAATTGAAAAACAGAAAGAAAAAAACAATATTTTTTTTTTGATTTTGGTCGATTTTTTAGCAATATCATTGTTTTATGATAGGTTTATAATAAAAGTATTAATTTATACAGCAATACATTTTGTCCAATTTCAGTTTAATAGATAACCCTAGCAATATCATTGTATTATAATAGTTCTAGGATAAAAGTAATCATTTTTACAACAATGCATTTTGTCCATTCAATTTAATCGATGACCCCCCTAATTTATCCTGGTCGTCGCCTACCACCCTTAAATGCTACCCATCTATATTTAAATTTATTGTAAAAATAAAATTAAAAAGAGTATCAATAAATTATTCAACCCTCACCCCCCCCCCCCTTATAAATTTATACTAACCACAGTCTACCCCCCTAAATGTATGATGGCAAATTGTTCCTATCCAACCCACCCCCTCCTGCTCATATGGCAATTTTTCATATTCACTTAATTGTTCATTAGATAGAATTTATTAAAATAACCATTAAAATATATTAAATTTATATCACCGTCGTATTTTGGTATTCACCAAAATTAATATTAGTTTCTCATTTATCTTTTGTATAAATTTTAATCAAAACAAGACTTACTCACCAAGAGAAATTTATTCATAAGTTTGTTTAAAATAATTTATAGATGAAAATGCAGATCGAGATTAGACAGTTATTTGAGGGGGCAGAGGAAGAAACTACTAGGAATACTATTCTAGCAATGATCCACAGATGATTTCAGCTCAGCTGATCCTATACCAATCTGGCATAGAATGATTTGTTAAAAGGAGCGTTGTACTCATTTTGAAAACCAATTTGATAAACCATATCTAGATTCGAATCCCAATAATTATTTGGAAGAGAGAAATTCTGAAAAATTTTTACTAATTTCAAATGATAAATCAGTTATAATTCATGATATTTATCTGAATTTGAAAATATCTTTATAGAATATAATACACTTTTGTCATCAAGTATTCCTGTGGAGCGCTATTTTCCAAAGCAAATACATTCTAACTAAATATTTTAGATGTCATAATATTATTTACAAAAAAAATTAGCAATATAGAATAATATTATCTAATATAAAATTATATTAAATTATAAAAAAATTAGTCTACAAGAAATAATAAAACCTTACTTGAAATCCACTAACTGAATAATTTTAACTACGAGAAAAATAAACCTTACCTGAAATCCACTAACTGACTCAAATTACAATTTAAGGGAACTATAACTCAAAACAGTTATTTTATAACAACACGATATTTTAATTCGAATATTTTATTCAAGAAAAATTACATCAGTTTCTTTTAAAAAAAATAATAATAATCATATAATCATCTTCCTTTTTATAAAGAAAATATATATATTTTAAAAGCCAATTTTAAATGATTGACATATATAAAAAAACAATCTATAACATTTACGACATGTTACCCCTTTATGGGCCAATGGCATGTATACAAAAAAAAATGTATATGTATATATATTTTTGTTAAAAAAAATGATCGATATATGTTGCATGATCAATTAATTTGTGACCGTATTTTAAAAGGTTCTGTAAAAATCCGATTATTCATTTTTAATATCATTGAAAATTGAGCATTTTATTTTTTACCATATTGCTATAACAGAAGTAAAATTTTATAAAGTCCTTCGATTTTATTTGATTAATTCAATAATATCATGATTACCTTAAATATTTCAAAAAAATAGCTAATTTCAATGTGAATGATCCATTGTAATTGATAGTGGGTATAACTATGGGGAAACCAATGACATATAATAATACCTAGACTGACGATTCATTCATTAAAATGCATTTTTAAGCGTCGTTAAAAGCAAATCAGCTGGACCCGCCATTTTGGTAACCTTTATAATAATTATTTTCATGTTAAAAACTAATAGTAAAATGATAACTTACTTTCTTATTATCTCGATGATCAGGCAATTCTTTAATAAAGTTTGCATCAGATATAATATAAAATTAGGCTCTCGTTTAAAATTTTAATATTTATTACAGTAACCAAGATGGCGTCTCCAGCTGATTTGCATTGATGTACACTTTTAATGAATGAATCGTCAGTCTAGGTATTATTATATGTCATTGGGGGAAACATCAAACCCGAAAGGAACAATAGATATTTCCTAAAGCATCCAATTTCAGAATCGTCATTAATATTATTTTAAACATTAACATTAAGTTGTTTTTTCTGTGATAATACAATGACATATAATAATACCTAGACTGACGATTCATTCATTAAAGTGTACATCAATGCAAATCAACTGGAGACGCCATCTTGGTTACTGTAATAAATATTAAAATTTTAAACGGAGCCTAATTTTATATTATATCTGTGAATGAATCGTCAGTCTAGGTATTATTATATGTCATTGGATAATAATATCTTTGTCCAATCATCTTCTTGTTTTCCATTTCGATTTTTTGGCGATATCCACTCGTAATAAAGAATTTTCATTGACTAATCATTGATGGTACTGTGGTATTCCTTCGTGGAGTTCTGGAATAATGATTGACGTTATTATTATGAGGCGAATGTTTCAAAAAGCCTGTTCTGGCAAGATGTGAAAAACGGCGACGCAGAGAAATGTAGCCCCACTGAATAACATGGCCATAGTGTAAAGGGATTTGATCTCTATTTGTTTACATATACGTCCTATGTATGTCATTATGGATCATCAGGGGTATCGATGGTCATTGGAGATTGTGGCTTGTTAATTTGGATACTTGAAACTACGCGAAAAATTATTATTTTTTCCCCGTGATTGGAAAAGGAATAAATTCAATACAAGCAAAATCTTTTTCGTGTTGGAGACGGAATAAATTCAGTACAAATTTTTTCATATAATTTTCAAATTAGAATTTTGGGGAATTTAAATAAAAATTAAACTTTTATTAGCTGAATAATTTTAACTACGAGAAAAATAAACCTTACCTGAAATCCACTAACTGACTCAAATTACAATTTAAGGGAACTATAACTCAAAACAGTTATTTTGTAACAACACGATATTTTAATTCGAATATTTTATTCAAGAAAAATTACATCAGTTTCTTTTTAAAAAAAAATAATAATCACATAATCATCTTCCTTTTTATAAAGAAAATATATATATTTTAAAAGCCAATTTTAAATGATTGACATATATAAAAAAAACAATCTATAACATTTACGACAATAAAATTATCTGAAGCCTATAAAAATATAAAATAAATAAGTTAAAAAAATTTCAATAAAAGTCAATAAAATTGGATATATAATAGCGTCATTATTCATATATCACATCATACAGTAAGTTTATAATTCATGCAGATATTTTAATAAATTACATCTACAAATAGTGCACTATGCTATAATATTATATTTGGCCATCTGATCAAATTTGTTATAGACATATTATATATAAACGAAAATAAATAAAGATCTATCAGGTTTTTGTTATAATATGATTTATATTATATTAATTTTAGTATCTTCTATTTATAAAAATACTTATTTTTTTAATTATATTGATTTTGAATGTTATTCATATAAAATACTTCTAAATATCTTAAATTCTTAACTATTTAACATTTTATTATTATATTTATATTATTTGATTATTGTTATAAAGGGGAAAGTTTTAATATATCTGAATAATTATTTTTTTTGCATTGGAAAATATTATTATTATATTTTACAAGAAATGATTTGACGCTAGTGTTACTAACTCATTTATATAAGGTAGGTGTAGGAAAATTTCAATAATTTTCTTAGAGACCTGCAGAGGTACCATTTTCACGGCCCCCGCAGTTTTTATAGAAATATTTTTTTTATTTTTGGATTATTATAACTAATAATGGCGATTTAAAATATTTGGTTTTAACCGCCCGGCCCAGGTATTCTAAAAAAAATTAAAATGCGGCCTGTCAGGGCTTAGGACCGAGCCAGCAGGTTTCTGAATTTTCTAATAATTTCTATAGTATCAGCTGGTGGATAGCTGCAAAAAATATAACCTTTTTAAGTTTGGTTTATCAAAAATTAATAATGCAACTTTTAAATATATATGGTTTACGAAATGATGGTAGAAAACCAGAAGAATTAAGAAAAATTAGGTGTGAGATTGGTTTAAATAAACAAGCCAATGGCTCTGCTTATTATCAAATGGGGAATACAAAAATTTTAGCAACAGTATATGGACCACATCAGGTTTGAATTAGAAAATATATATAAATATTTTGTATAAGATATTCTCAAAACAACCAATATCAAATGAATCTGTTATCATTAATTGCCAAATCAGTTGTGCTTCTTTTAGTAATAATTCAAAACCTAAAAAAGGTAAATCAAATCAAAGTCATTTTGAGATTACTCAAATATTGCAAAAGTCATTGGAATCTGTTATAATGGTTCATCTTCTGCCAAAATGTCAAATCGATATTTTTATAGAAGTATGCTAATACCGATTTATATATGAAAATGATATTAAACAATAATTATTTATTTATGCTAGTTAAGTTATTTAATATAAAACTTCTGTTACTCATCTGGCAACTATTTTCAAAAAACCAATCCTAGTAGATATTATCAATTGTTTTTGTATACATTATTTTAATTTCCTATTATTATTTCAAAACAGCAACATGAAATCTTTTTTATAAAATTGATATTATTGAGATGATTCTCTTTCGAGGTATAAAAAAATACACTTAAGAATTTGCTTGGTTGGTCATATTCAAAATAATATATATTAGAATATAAATACAAATTCATAAAAAAAATTTTTATTGAAATTTGAATATAAATACGTTTATTTTAAATATAAATAATACATAAAATTCAAAAATGATATTTAGATACAAATACTTTGATTAATACTTTTTGCAAGATTCTTACCACTATCAATTTTTTTAAATGATACTTTGAATATTAACCATTTTCAAAAATTCATAATTATATATAATATCATTGTATCAAAAATCTTACAGTTATTATATTTTATCTGTGGGAATACAAACATTATAAACACTATATTGATTGCAACAGTGTATCCAGTGATGTATTGCTTATAAATTTGGTTATGGAGTAGGGGGGCTATAATTTTTTTATATAAATTTTAAAAAAATTAATGTCACAAATCTAATATTTACCTGTTGTACAAATTGAAATATACATAAATTTAAAAGTGAAAAATTTTGATAAATCCTTTATTTCTTTCTCTCTCCCTTTGGGCTCAATTTTTTTAAAAATAGATTTCATTTATTGTAATGATTTCATGGTATCTTGATAAATGGATCTGGAATTTAATCTGATATCGAAGGTCCACCAATACTTAATAAAATTGGACAAATTATTTACTCTCTAACAACTTGCACAATTATCTACCATGATCATTCATAAGATGGAAGCCCGCCTTTAACACTTTGGCAGAATTTGCAGGATGATATATTTCATAAGGTAAGAAATTTTAAAAACTTTTCTTTAGGAATATCTTAAGATAATTTGGTTTCCCTTCAATACCAGTCAATTAATAAAAATAAAAAATGGTTCATTGACAAATGGATATTGAAGAACCTGATAAAAAAAATTCCAACAACTTAACAACCTATCTATTTTAAAATTTCAAATTCCTATTTAAGCATTTAAAACATCTAGATATGATTGTAAAATTTCTTGCCCTCTGTGTTGTTTGATTGGCTCAATCCTAACAGTCGACAAAATTCGCCACGTCTTGAGTCATGTGATGTGAGTTACCCTTTAAGCTTGAATCCGATCGAGGGTTATATTTATCGGTTTTACCATTTTTAGGGTTCGGCTCCAAACTTGTTAATGGAGCCATTTATCGCCCTACTTTCTGATGGTGAACCTCACGCTATTCGTAAATAAAGCAGCTAAGACCGGCTATTAACGGGGCACTAATATCTATTTTTATAGAATACTTAAATGGACCGATAGCTCCGCTCCCCCCCCCTCTATCTAGTCGGCACCTCTAAATAAGGTTAAAAAAAAAATTTTTTTTAAGTCTATTGTCATCGCATTTTTCTTCTTGGAGCCTTTAGTTTAATCTGCGCCCTCTAAATTATAATCAGAATTTTATTTTAATATATTAAATCCTAGAAAAATTACGAAGAGATTCGATGATTGGTAAGGCTTGTCGGAATGAAGGTGTTTTTTAGGTTAAATTTTATTTAAGTTTTAATATTTCACATTTTTCAAAAAATACATATATATATTTATTTTAAAAAAATCTATCTCCATAAATTTATTAAAATGAGAGAATAAAAAAAACATAAAATTAAAAAATATTGAAATATAAAACTTTTTGCTTCCTCTATCATCTATGCCGTAAAGCATGTGGTGGCTATAAAAAAAAATATGCACTAGGAAAAAAAGATTGTATTTTTTGATTTTATATAAAGATAATAATCAGTCACCTGCAGAGGTACTATTTGTACAGCCCGGCCCTAATTTTTTTTTCAAAAATTTTCGGCCCGGATATTTTTTTAAAATAAGTTTTCAGGCCCGGGCCGGACTTGAAGTATTACTTTTTTTAAAAAAAATGGCGGAGGGTGAGTTCATCTCTTTTTTAAAATTTTGAAAGGGGGGGGGGCTAAATATAACGGTTAGCTGGAGTAGGGCTTAGCCTCCCCATAGTCTTCCTGGCCATATATCCCTTGAGAGCATATCACACAAAATTATATTATAATTGATGAAAATATCATTAATTTAACAGTTTTTTTTTTTTTATATAGAGTATTATAAAACATAAATTTTGAAAATAATTAATTGCTCACATATAATTATTATTAAGCATACACTAAAATTAATCAAATAAATCACTTTTTAAAAATGGGGGAAAATTAAATATGGGGAAAGGTTTTCGAATAAAATGCCATTTAATCTACACTTTTTATTTGTTCTAATAATTAAATTTTTTTTGAAAAAACCGAATAATCTTCTAGTTGAGCCGGAAGGAGACCAAATAAAATTATATTTAATAAAATTATTTATTTTTTAAAATTATTTAGCAGGTTCTATATATTTTCGCGCTCAGACTTGCCAGAGGTCAATTTGGACGGCCCGACCCTACCCCAAATTTTTTTTTTTCAAAAATTTTATTCGACCCGGCTTTGATTTTTTATTTTCAGACCCGACCCGAGTATATTTTAAAAAAAATTACTATCCGGCCCGTTCCGGGCTTGCATGTCGCTGCTTCAAAATAACCGAGTGCTTGAAGCATAAACATTTTATCGAATTTTTTAAAATTCATATCATTGGTCTTCCTTAATATTTACATATTCCATATATAACATCATATTTTTGAATGAAGATGGCTACACTCTAAAAAAAAAAGGGGGGGGGGGAGTTAGTCTAAAGAAATGATAAAAAAATAAAAAATTTAGTAGACGCCATCTAGCGGATGGAATATTTTTTTTTTTTTATTATTTTTATAAATTAAAAAAAAATAAAATGTTACGAGTTTAATTTAAACTTTATAAAAATTAGTGAAACTTCTAATAGATAATTTATTTTTTAACATTTTTTATAAAAAAAAAATATATATGTTACAATTCCTTATTTGAATTGTGATTTTCTTCATTTCTTAATTTTATTTTCCTTTTCAATTTCTTGGTTCTTAAATTTAATTATTATTTTTTTCTTACCACTTTTTGAATATAATTTTCTTTATTGTAATTAACAGGAAGAATGTAATTTTTTTTAAAAATATATAATAATAATAATCTTTTCTTTTTCAGGGGTTTTTATAACCTAACATAAAAAAAATATAAAAAAATAATAATGACAAAATTACAATATTGATAAAAATAACAAATAATATTGATTAAAAACAAATATTTAAAAAAAAAACAAATAAATTTACCGAAAGCATGTTTATCACAGTAATCTAATTGTCAGACTTTAATGAAATTGATGGAACATAGTATTAATAAAAAAGAATATATAAGAAATTTAAATAATTTTGTCAATAAATCTTACAACTCCTGTTTTTTCACTAAACCAAATTTTATAATCTTGAATTTTGCACGACAACCACTAAGTTTCTTCAGATTATGAAACCAGACAACTGACGTTTATTTTAAAAATTTTTTTCATTTTATATGCATTTTTACATTAAAAATTCATAATAAAACATAATAAAAATTTACAAGTATATTTAATTTCATAATAAAAAAAAAAATTCCTAGACTGCATATTCAAATTAACATTTAACAATCGTCGATCACATATTCACCAACTAACTAATTATACAAAAAAATATAATTTATATTCAAATGATTTATATACAAAAAAATATAATTTATATTCAAATGATTTATATACAAAAAAATATAATTTATATTCAAATGATTTACGCGAATATAAAAATTTTGCACAACTCTTCTTATTGTATTTCTTTTCCTTATTTATATCTAAAAATTAATTGTCACTTTAATTTTTGCGGTCGAAAGAATTTTTTTAATTTATTTTTTTTTTAAAGAAAGAAAGAAATAATAAAATAAAACAAGAAGAAAAAAATCGATAATTAATTACACAATCATCGTTTTCCACGCTTTTATATATTATTTTAGTTTTTTTCTTTCTTTCTCATTTTTTCTTCATTTATTTATTTACTTTTTACATTTTCATTCGTTTAGTCATAATTTCATTTTGCCATTATACCTATATTTATTTGGAGGTTTTGGTAAATTACGTTCTTCCTACCTTTGACACCTAATTATATTGTGTCCTTCCAAAAAAAACAAGAAATATTAAATAATTTTTTTAAAAATATGTTGCCAAGCGGGGATGTTAGCTTGATTATTTGTACGTTAGAATTGATAGGAATTCGTTGGGATTTATCCTCGATATGAAGAATTTAATTTAAATATTTTAAAACGAATTTTTTTTTTATTTACAAAAGTTAACTGACTAAAAATTTATAATAAAAAATCTCTTTTTATATACAACGTAAATCAATTGTTTCAAATCACGTTATCCATTTTACAACATATAATATATTATAACAATCTTTCTTTTCTTTCTTTCTTTCTTTCTTTCTTTCTACAATATAATATATCGTTACTAAAAAACGATCCCCTTAACCTTCTACAATGAAAAAGTATGCTAAATATAAACAAAAATAACATGTTACAAACGTGTAACAAAATATTTCAAGACGCCATCTAGCGGATTGAATATTATCTTCTTTTTTTTATATAAATTAAAAAAAAAATGTTTAAATTTAAATTTTATAAAAATTATTGAAACTAAATAATTCTAATAAATAATTTTTTCAACATTTTTATAAATAAAAAAATATATTCCTATTATATTGTGTCTTTCCAAAATAAAACAATAAATTAATATTAAATAATAAGATATCGATTTTTAAATATAAGTTTCAATTTATTCATAAATTATTAAATATAATAATAAATTATACAGTCATTTTATAATTAAAGTTAAAAATAAAAATTTTTTTTAATGAAAACTAATAAAAAAATTAAATTTAAAAAAGTGCATTCGAAATTAGTCATCTATTTCGGTTTTAGTTTTTCAAATCCGGCCCGACCCGTTAACCGGCCCGATCCCGAATTTATTTTTGAATATAGAAAATAATTTTTATAATCACTCAAAATAAAAGACATGTTATGTTATATGGCATCCTAGTTTCTGTAAATAAAATAAAATCATATATTTTTTAATTTTACATAAAAAAATTATATATTAAAATTGATAAATTTAGATATATTTTAAAAAAAATTTCAAGGCTCGACCCGACCCAACCTGAATTTTTTTAAAAAAAATATCCGGCCCGAAGACTTTTGCAGATATCTACTCCTAAATATTCAATTATAATATATATTAAAAAAAAAACTATTTAAAAATACGACAATTTGCATAAAAACATTTATTATTTACATGAATATTTACAACACATATATATTTCTTCCATAAAAGATTCCTGAAATTTTCTTTAATTTTCCTTGATCTCACGTGGAATCAAGTGTAAACTTTTAACTTTGTTCAACATTATTTAACACTTACAGGTTCATTAATCACAACCTCAGATATTTATTTACCTTCTAATTTCGCTGAACAGAGTGAATTTTCAAATTATCTCTTTCGATATACAATGTACTTTCTCGAAATATTAGGTTACAACACCCCGTATCCGATCCTTTAATTACGTTATTCCGACTGGAATTATCTATTTATTTTTTTTTAGCCCTGGAGTTTCACGATTTTTGAGCTTCCATTAAAATCAAGTTTAAACTATTTTTTTTATATCTTCAGAAAAAAATCATTTGGCAGGTGTCACAGAGACTACATCCACAATATTTGGATCATTTAACTTACCTAAGAGATTTCTCCTTTAATTAATTGTCGAACAACAATTAATGATACGATTAATATGTAAGAAAAAATAGAGCAGGAACCATACTATTGGTCAGTTCCAATTCGTTCCTCTTATGGTTACCATCTAAAATTGTTGATTGGCATGTAGAGAATGTGCAGATTATTAGTGTTAGTATTACAGATTGTCTGTTAAATATTCTAGAAACTTAGGAACTAGAATCTATTTCTTCTTCTAGTTTTTTAGCATTATCATCCAAAAAATTTTATACGTACGGTTTTATATATCTTAAATACTCATCTTAAAAAATAAAATGGGATTGAACGGATGAGTTGTTAATTTTTTTGTTTTGTTTAACTCGGTCACAAATTTAGTATTTTAATTAAATAAATGTGGATTTATATTTTAAAATTCAGTTACATTTTTTTTAAAATAAAGTATCTGTATTCGTATTCTCCTGAAATGGTGAGTGAAAAAAATACTTTTGTAATTTTTTTTTTAGTATTTAAGATCCTAAATACAAAAATAAAGAGTATTTATATTTTTAATAATACAAGTTTTCGCGTTACTACCCAACCCTGTGAGGTGATAATGCACAAATATTGCCTTGATCATGAGAAACAAAGTGTTTCTTGTTTTGCCTTATTAAATATAGTTAAGTTAATTGTTTTTTGCATAGAAAATATTGATAATTTTTTATAAGAATGTTATCTCGGGTTTGATTTTGCTTAAATATCAGAAAATATTGGATCGGATCGATGAAAAGTGTATTGTCACAACCCCAGTTTTATACCTTTTCTATGACAGTTAAAAAATTTTTATTCAGATTTTACAAATGGACGGAAGTGTATTATCGTCTTGTGTCAATGCCTCGACCTTAGCCCTAGCCGATGCCGGTATTCCCATGTCCCATATGCTAGTCTCTTGTACCTTGGGAATTTCTTGTGCTTCGAATATTTCAACGGGCCAACAAAAGTTCCAATGTTCTTTGGAAATCCCCGAACACTATACAGAAAACATGGAGGGGAACATATTTCTGATAGATCTTAATGGCTCTGAGGACTCTGGCATGGTAAGCGGCAATGTTAGGAACAACAATAACCTGCCAGGTATGTAAATAAAAATTCGAATCAAATAGAATGATACTATTATTCCAATTTTTTTTTAGGTATGTGTTTGATAGCTAAGGTCAAGCAAAGTTCAGAAACCGACTCTACCAATACCCTTAGTTGCGAATTAGTCGCCTTAGAAATTTATCACAGAATACCTTTTCAAGTTATAGAAGCCGCCCAAGAATCCGCTAATTTAGCTTGCCAAAAGATTTATACCTTACTAAACGAAAGTTGTAAATACAACTACGTGGTTAATTATCCCGAAAAATTTGCGACTTAATTTATTATCATTACAAATAATATTTTTAAAAAAAATGTTTAATGAAACGTTTGTTTGATTATTTTTAGAAGGAAGCATTTATCAGTTTTTGGAATTCCAAAACTGTTTCAAAAATTGTGTATACATAGTTTATTAAATTGATAATATATATATGAGGATCTAAGTGGGTTTTTTTGTGATTGGTTACAATCCTAAAAGGCGCCTTGTGATGAATTAAATAAGGGAAATATCATCTTAAATTGTATGGGGGTAAGGTAAGCTATATTGTAATTGGATTTATGAATGGCAATGGAGAATCTTTGCCTAAGGCAAAAACTTTCCCTGGGTTCACCAGTGATTTTATGAATAAGAGATCCGAGTTCCTTGAAAGAAGCTTTAAGGCAGGCTACTAAAGGTGGCTAATGTAGAGGAGATTATAGTTTATGAAAATGTGTTTGTTCATTGGATATTTCCGAATATATATTAATTTTTGTATAGCTATTTGATGTCCAAGATGTCTATGGTAAGATTTGTAGGAGGGCTAGGGGATCTATGTCTTCCTAAGTTTTTCTTTCCCCATTAGTTATTCATTTCTAAGTTTTTGTTTTCTTGAAGATTTTTTTTTCTGCATGCTTTTCGGGATTCATTATATACCCTAACTCAAATTCTTGACCTCAACACCATTCTAATTTATACAAACACGTATGCAACACTTTTTTAAAAATCCTTTTTACACTATTTTATTTATTTTTTTTGTATATAATATTCATTTATTTTTAAAAATTAAATTAAAACGTGCTATCTTTGGAAATGAAGTGGAGAAAATATGTTTAAGATAACTATTTTATTTATTACTAAATATTAAAATTTTATTTCAAAATTCAATATTAAAAAAGATTACAATAAGATAAATTTTTAATACTATATATTAAAAATTATATACTATCTCTATAAAAAACGAGACAATATTTAAAAAAAAACTATTTAGTTTATGTCGGTGAGGCCTAATGATCCATGTACAGATGGATATTCTTTGTCGCAAGTAAAAACTCTTGTATCAACTTTGATTAAACGTAACCTTAAGTATTATAAATTTAAGTCAAAAATAAATGAAAAATAAAATACCAATGTTGTCTTATATGGGGCAGGTAGTGGAGAGGATAACATTGTGATTTATGTTTGTGCATAATTGCTATAACCTAATCATCTGATGGCATTGTGAATATCATGTTAGGAACTTCCTTAGAAAATATCATAAGAGAAATATGATAACGCATCTTTGTCCCTATTATTTATAGTTTAAATAGATTTTGACATTGTACTAGTCATATATTTTGGCAAATGAGTGTTTATTTTCCACTGAATAATTCTGATTTGAAATATTTCATTGCGCATGGGCATCTATTGGATTCATGAAAGACTTACAATTATCATATTCTTTAATTCTAACACAGAATATAATTATAAAAAATATAATTATAAATTTAATTTTTGTTATAAGCAAAAGAAACCATTATTAAAAAAAAATTGTCAATAAAAAGATTTTGTAACATGTTCATCACTTTCCATAAGTGGGGCAGTGGTCTAATTTTATCCCCCATTCAAAGCCCGGATCTGTGCTCGGAATTCGTGCTAAGAGCTGGTTTAGTCGATTTTTAGACCCAAACCCCGTATCTGGGTTTTACACTACCAATAACAACACAACTTTTGATGTTACTCGTGAAAGGCAAAATTTTTATCATGTCTGAAAAATTTATGGAATATTTCTTCTAAAGATATTATAATTCTGCCATATATTATTACCATAATTTTACATCAAAATAAAATCGTTTTATACCTTTTTGCGGTAAATAATAATTCTCGCTAATCAAATCACAACATTTATAAATCAAATCTTTATTTGACAGATGAGAAATGTCAATCTTTTTTTAAAAAATTCTAGTTGCGCTCGTCTTCTCACTAGCAAAAAAACGATTTGTGGAGATACAAAATTATCGGTCACTGTCGAGAAAATATTCATATCGAAAACTTTAATAAAAAAAATAATATTATGTAATAATCTATTTATTTAAAATATTATATCAAATTAATACATACAAGTTTATCAATTTATTTTTTGTTGAGTTTGTGAAAATTCTATGTATTCTAAAAAAAATAATTTCCCGTTTGATTCACGCAAAATATCTTATCACGTCCTACGATTTTCCGTAAAAACCCATGATCATCGCTTTATTCACTCATGGCGTTCCCCGGATGATCACAGAGAATTTCATAGCCCGCTTCCATTTCTATGTCTTTTATTATACGCGCCTTAAGATATTATATCTACATATTTTTTTTCTGTCAGATCTTTTTTCGGACCAGGCTCCCATTACGGTATTATAATATTATTTTTGTATGTGTCATTTTTGAAATTGACTCCTAAGGACATTGGGTCCATAAAACAATATTCGGTTCTTGTTAAAAATTAAGCCTAGGCTCAAAAAAATTTGGACTGAGCTAGGGGCTATAAAAAATTAATTTGCGATGTTTCTACCCTATGCATGCTGTCAAATCGAGGTAGATTTTAGCGATTAAATCCTATAAATGAATCCACCCATCTTAACACTGTCCAATAACAAATATTTTTTTAATTTCTTTCACGGGGAGACCCTTATAAAATGGTAATAAAATAACAACATCAAGATGGCGCAAAAAAATCAACCCCAACAATGATTTTTAAAATTAAATTGTCCAAATCAATTGGAGATCATTTATACAATCTGCTTAAATTTTTCTAGGAACTCGATGACAATTTATATCGTAATATATATTTTTTCTAAAATTCAATATTTAAAAAAAAAAATTTTCTCGTTTTTTAAGGTAATTTATATGACGAATATTATCCGTGAACACGATTTTGTATAAAAATTTGAGTTAATAAGGAAAACAAGTATAAAATTAAGGTAGAATTTCGCGTTTTAAACGCATTTGATGATGGATTGTATGCTCATAAGCTCTTCTGGAGATATGCCCACTTTAACCCTGGCTTCTTTACTGATTTTCTCCGTGGGTTCAACATTCTTTTGCCCCGCAAGCTTATTAGCCAATTCAACCTTTTCTGGAATGGGAGAAGGGGCGAGCTTCTCGTCTAAGTTATCATTTTCTGGATCGGGTGGGTCTTTGGCGTCAGGGTCTTGGGCTGGTCTAACGGTATTCCAATCTTTAAGGCCGGCAGGTAAGTTTACATCTTCTTCGAAGGAACCGGTATCTTTAACGAAGTCTTCGTATGTAGATTTTTCTTTGAAAGGCCTGGGTCCCAAAAGTTCTATCATATCCTCCCTGTTAATCACTTCCTTTTCTAACAACCTTTTTGCCACCTTTTTTTGTCATTTTTTATTTTTAAAAATGAACGTGAATAATTTAAAAGTATTATTTTTTTTAACCATAATTCTCTTCTCTCTTTACGTTCGTTCCCAGACGGGAACTAATATTTTTTAGATCTAACCTCATAAAAGTGGTTGCGGTTAAAAGGGGAGATGTAAGTCATGGTATAACATATGTTGTAAATAATGGCTTCAAAATAGGTTATCCACTTACCTACCAGTTTTTAATCGAACTTAACACAGATTATAATTACTTTATTTTAAACTTTTAGAGACAAGACGTGTGTTCCAGATCCTAACCTCTAAGTTAGAATACTTAAATATATTTGGTAAATGAGGATGGGATAGAGGTCTGCGTTGGGCGGCTTTTTCGCCGCCCGCCCATACTTTGAATGGGCGTTGTCGGGTATTTTTTAAAATATTTTCAACAGTAGACGGGTGGCGAACGGGTTAAATAAATTTCAAAACAACGAGTGGGTTGCAGACTCCTAGGATGGAATGCAATAAAAATGTCGAACAGCATTTCTCGAGTTATGCACCGAAGAAAACGGGGTACTTATTGTAAAAAAATAAATAAATAATAAAACCTTTTCAACTTGATCTTTTTTATCGGTGAGCAATGCCAAAGTTTTTTGGTAGGCCTTATTAACGAGAATTCGGACTTCTTCGTCGATCATTTGCGCCGTCGACTCGCTGTACGGTTTATCGAATGCCATTTCACCCCGGTCTTGGGCCGATTCGAAGGATATGGGTCCGATTTTTTCGTTCATGCCGAATTTGACTATCTGCGATATTTTCGTAAATATGTCTTCAGAACATGGGATAATAAAATATTCGATTACTGGAATTTCGAATAGGAATAATTTTTAACCAATATTTTAATAAAGTTTTTCCTAATAGTTCTCTTTTTTTTTTTAGAGATGTATGGCTATTTTGTGGTTGAACGCTTCACGAGATGCAAATGAGAGCTATTATTATTTCTTCTCGCGTACCGATTGCGTAATCTTAACCTTACAATTTACAACAGTTTCAAATTAGGTTTAAGAAAATTGAACGAGAAGTTTCACTTAATCACAATTGAAAAGATGATAATAACTCAGGTGCCAGAAAAAAAAATGAAAAGCCCGCAGAGATAGGCACGAGTCACATCGGTCCTTTGGGTGGTTATGACGGGCCAGACCGGATTTAATTTGTGGCTTATCAAAATTCCATATCATAGTTTTTTTTTAAAAAATACTTAAATTGTTGTAGGCAACTAATTTGTGTGACACTTGTTCAAGGATTAGTGAATAGCTTGAGTTGTAAAGTTTTTTTTTTCTCTCTAAAAATCGAATTTGAAATAGATAATCATCATATGGATTACAATATTTTTATCAGTTATTTGAACATATTTTGGTAAAATATCGCAGTTGTACCCTCCATTATGCGTCCACTGTGACCAATCCATGGAATCGAATGTCTACCATCTCTTGCACAGCAAGTTCGGAGGTTAGCGCCGCCATAAATCCATAAAATATTATCTTAACTCCTCGAAAAAGTTGATTATCTCAATCTACTCCTGAACCCGTGGGCCTTTCAAATAAAAACGCTCTATGCCTGGATGGTATATCCCTTATCTCCTAAATGAACGCTCTTCCACTGACCTGGAACTAGACTTGCGGTGCAAGGAAGACTAACCTCTCTTTTCTTGCCATAGAAAAGGCAGAAGTTCTTAACAAAAATAAATAATCTGGCCTCACAAAACACAGTCTTATACCTATACTCGTTAAAACCTTAAGGATTTGGAAAGGAAGCCCTGACAAAAAAAAGGGAGACAGATTATAGGTGACCCCAATCAAGGATTCTACCTATGCACTCCTATCCAGGGTGAAATGTAACTTTTTTAAGTTCCTTATTAATATATTCTTAGTTGGTATTTTAAAAAATATGATTTGTTTTGATAGTTTAAATTTGAAATTTTATTTTTAAAATTGAAACAATTTTTTTAAAAAATAAAATTATTAAAAGATTTTTAAAAAAATTAAATTAAATTACCAAAAAATCGATATTCAATGTTCATTGATAAATTCTTAAACTCTAATAAATTTTTAACATAACATATTATTGTTTTCCCCACTAATTGATAAGGTAATAAAATTATCAATACGTGCTCCTAAAACAAATAGCATAATTATTACGAATATAATGTCGAAATAATTAGGAATGAATATTCGATAACCGAGATTTGATTCTTAAAGTCGGATAGTAACTAATATAGAAGAAATCTCTCTAATTACAAATCCATTTTCTTTTTGTACCTTTTTGAAAACGTAGAATATTAAGATGAAAATATCTTTGGCTAATAAAAATTTACTTGGGAATACGCCATCTGAGTGATTTTCTGAAGGTCGTCAGCAGCACCCGTCGTTATTTTACCGAAAAATATTTGTTCGGAGACGCGCCCACCCAAGGTCATGCACATCCGGTCCAACAGCTGTTCTTGCGAGAGCAAGTATTGTTCTTTGGGAAGGTATTGAGCGTAACCGAGACCTTTGCCGCGAGGTATTATACTAACCTACAATTATTTATTCGCGAAATTTTGATTTCATTTCACGAAATCTGAATTAAATTAAAAAATTTCCCCTCAAAAAAAAAACATACATCTTTTAAAGAATAATATTTGACGATATGGATTTTGTGAATATTGGGACACTCCCAACAGCTAAAAGATACTTTTTCATATGTACCTGAATACTTCAAACTGATATGTTTTTAATAACATACTTGTATCTGCATCTAAGATACATTAGATTCCTCTTTTTGTAAGGGCTTGTTCTACTATGTATTCAACCGACCCAAAAAGTTTCCTATTTCTATCAGATCTCGTATCTCCCAATTTTCTGATCCCTACCATAGGGGCTAGCATAACTATAATTAATTTTTTTTAGCCATTTATTCCATCTCTAACTAAAATTTCTTCCTCTCCAACAGTTTTCCCCTTTTCGTCATCGTCATTGCTAACCATATTACCGTGGACCACTTTGCCCATTTATTTATTTTTATAACTATTTAAATGAGCCTTTTTTTTCAAATTTTATACTTTTAAAAGTGGATCGGCCTCCGCCAAAAACCAGCCAGCGACTGCGTGGCCCGCTTCGTGATAGGCGACGGTGGTTTTTTCCTCCGGTTGTAGAACGCGCGTTTTCTTTTCCATACCTGCAGTATAAAATTTCAATTTTTATTATTTATTCATTTTAAATCTTTGTTTTTTTCGTTTTATTCCTCTCTTATTTAGTTTTTTTTCTTCTTATTATTACCGGCTATAACCCTCTCTATGGCCTGTTCGAAATGTTTGAGATTGATTTCCACGTTCAAATCTCGAGCCGCGATAAGAGCCGCCTCATTGCAGACATTTGCGATATCGGCACCTTAATAAGAGTCGTTATTACAATATTTATTATATAAAATTATGAAATCAAATACGAATGAGATTAACATCAAAGCAATACGCAAGTATAGGGACAATAAAAATGTATTTTGTTTGTGTGTGAATCAGTACCTGCAAAGGCTATCAGTTGCACGGGCCGGTTTGTATTGTTTTAACGGGCCGGGCCTGCAGGTCTCTAATACATATATAATGTCGGTCAGCACGCAACTTACTAAATAGCAAATAAATTTTATTGAAAATAAAAATATACAGCGATTATTGTCTTAATCTTACCTCATTTACTAAGCTATATCCTTGAGGTTGATTTCAAAAAAAAAAAATGTTCCAAACTCGGGATTGAACACGAGTCAAAATAATTTGCTGCGCCTCAGTTCTATCTGTATCAGAGACCTGTAGGCCAGGTCCTAAGCCCGGGAACAAGGTCCGGGCAACAAGAGCTGGGCCGTGCATATCGTTTCTGTAAGTATCTGATTGATTTGCATATAAGGATATTTAAGAATAAACACATATTTTTTAATAAAACTATCAGTGTCCGACATTATATGACCTAACCCTTTTCTCCATTTATTATATTCTTTAGTGTATTAATTAAATCATATACCCGTAAAACCGGGTGTAAGAGCGGCCATCTTCCTAGAGAGTTGATTCTTATCCAGAGAAGATTTCAAGGGGCCTAAATGCACTTTGAATATCGAGGCTCTGAAAATAAAATGTTTATATATATATATAAAATTTATCCCTTTTTCTTCAAATTTTTTCATTCAAATAGAATAGTAAAAAAAAAAAAATTTTGATTCGCAGTATATTTTTAGTTCTTTTCGAAAAAGGCAATAAGATCCATAAAACGATTTAAATTAAATAATAGGATCTAAACCCCAAGATTAAATTCTTATTGCAGCTGGTAAGCACAAGTTAACTAAAGTTGTCCACCTTCTTCAGCAACGTTGTCAAACAGCTCAATTTAAGTCGATTTTTTTTAAAACGGCCAACTCGATATTTTATCCAGAATAATAATGCACGAGTCTGAAGAGCTTGACTGACAGATGGCACAAAGGTCTAAGACAGCTATTAGCAAAATATCGATGCTTAAAAAATATTTATCTGGTTAAAATATTGAGCGAGCCATTTAAAAGCACTAACTTCTCGGAAGGGAGGGGTCAGTGCTGGGCTGTAATTGGCAATAGGTTGTTGTTAATTTTTTTTTGGCAAGTTAAGGAAGCACGTTTAACAACGTGGCTAAGACTTTTAGGAGATAAAATTGTCAATCGTTTATGTTTCAAAACGCGAACCTTCCTTTGATATCGGGAGCTCCAACGTATATTTGTCTGTCGAATCTTCCCGGCCTTAGCAAGGCCGGATCCAATATGTCTAACCTATAAGAAAGATTTTTTTAAAAAAACATTAAATGTATTGTTATCGAATTATAATATTAGAATTTTTTCCCAATTTATCTGTCTTGTATAATAAATAAATCTTTAAAAGTATTATGCAAAAAAAAAAGCAATATTTATCCAAAGCCTAACCCGTAGCTTGCTTGGCCTCAGAGAGTATGGTTAAATCCTTATAAGCAATAAACGGGATATTATAACTTTAAATCTAGACTTTTTAATGATGGATCTTTCGTCTTAAAATAATCAACATTTATCCCAAGCCTCATCGGTGGCTTGCTTGGCCATGGAGGATATAGTTATATCCTTATAAGCCGCCATAAACACGATACTATAACTCTTAATTAGGCATTTTATGATGGATCTTTACTTCTCGAGATAATAGCTGACCCAACTAACTATTCAGTTTAAAATCCCTTCTCGCAAAGAAACCGCCACTTTTATAAAATATAAACATAGTAATTCGCTTAACTAACAATGAATTTTTTTTTAAATGATGTCCGGGATATAATAGTATCCGCTGGAACATAGTTGCTAAAATCAATTAAATAGCTTGGTGACAGGGCATTTGATAGTTTTAAAAAAAACAGTTTTGAACCAGTGATGAATGTGGTTGCAGTTCAAATGGAATTGAAAATAATGGGTCATACTAATGTCGACGAATATAGAGAAAAGGGAATTAGTCCTCATAAGAGGGTAAATCTAAAAAAAGGGACAATTGAACGAAGATAAAGGACGAGTGCTGGGTGCGGATTGAAAGTTTTCCGCGAGTCAAACTACGCGAAAAAAGGAACATATGTTTATATGGGAATTTCGTTATGCGGGTAAAATAAAAGGACCACGTGATCCTAGTCATTCATTTTTTTTTCGATGAAAAATAGCGGTTCGTTTTTAAAATTAATATACCAATTCATTTCCTGTAGACCGACCCCACATCTCACACGTGTCTTTTATCATACAATAGAATAGTAGTAATCTCGCATAAACTAAACTGAACTCTTGGTCCAAAGTCAATCATGATTTATATAATTTTCACGTTTTTTTAAAAAAATATAATCAAACTCTGAGAGCTTAAAAAGTGTTAGCGGGGGTTGGGTTCAATAAAATTTTGGGTTCACAGACATGGCTAAGATATTACCATATTATTTCGAGGAAATCCATGGAGCAAGCCTAATCTAGAGCAAAAATAAAATTTTCGTATAAAATTCCTCTCAAAAGCGTTCGTAAAATTCCTGAAATCATGAAAATAGTTAAACGGAAAAACGAGGCGGTATTAGACTAGGTATCGTAATAAGACCATAAGATAGGTAATGGTCGAAACTCGGCTAAATTACGGGAGCGTCCAGTTAATCTATTTACTCTTTTCCTAAAATTGGGCAGTATTTTCATTTTTTAAAAAAAATTCCTCCTCGCCGGCTAAAAAATAAGCAGTTTTCCGTCGATATAATTATAGGGGCCTATAAATATTTTTACCCTAGGAGGAGAAAGATATAACAATGTAATAATGTGTAAATATTAGACGGATAAATAAGTAAGGTATTATTTTATATCTAACCTATTAGTCGCTGCCAGAATAACTACGTTGGTCGCGGTATTGAAGCCTTGGGTAATATGGGGAGGGGGGAGGGGGTGAAATCGTATATATTGATAGGGTTTATAAATAGACATTATGAAAGTATTATTAACAAAATATAAGCGTTTCATTTGTAAAGTTTCCAAAAAAAAATCCACTTTAGCTTAGGTTGACTTCAATGCAAACTTTACTTTCCCATCTTATTTTATTTGCCATAAAATAATCATAAAGTGGTATTTAGCATGTAAAAAACACAAAAGCTACAGGAAATAAAAGGAAAGGGTAAGAAGCGATAAAAAGAATCAGAGATACATCCATACCATCAATAAAGTATCTACCGATACAAATATAGATACATATTTTTATATTGCTATATGTAATGTCTATAAAAAAGAGTGGAATGTATGGGTGAATCTCCGAAATAAATGGAATAAAAAAATGGACAGGAAAAAGAATCAAGATTATTCTAAGTTATACGAATTAAATAATACCGTCCATCTCGACTAGCAGCTGATTGAGCGTGTTTTCCTGTTCGCTGTGCCCCCCGAAAGACCTGCCCCCTCTCTTGCGGCCAACGGCGTCGATTTCGTCGATGAAAAGAATGCAAGGGGAATTTTTCTTGGCTAAGGCGAACATATCTCTCACCTTTGTAAAAATAGGAATGGAAAACAAACGTTAAATATGTACAAAAACCGGGCTTCATCGAATGCCAATCAATTTTAGTTTCAAGTTTATCAAGTCCCCCTTTGTCATCCCACCCCTTTCCAAATTTGAAGGAATTTATATCAAATTGATGATCAAACCCTGGAAGGCCCGACTCCGACAAACATTTCCAAAAATTCGGAACCGGAAACGGTTATGAAAGGGACGCTAGCTTCCCCGGCTGTGGCTTTGGCCAAGAGAGTTTTACCCGTGCCAGGTGGCCCCGTCAAAAGAGCGCCCTTGGGTATTTTCGCTCCCAAATCTGTGTATTGCTGAGGATTTTTGAGAAAATTGACGAATTCCATGATCTCTATTTTGGCCTCTTCGCAGCCTGCCACATCTCTAATTATATTATATTTTATTTTAAAAAAAATCAATTTTCAAATTATTCTCACTTTATTATTTGCAATCTTTAACTCTCTCTATCTTTCTTTCTTTTTTCTTTCTATTTATCTAAAACCGATATCGTTTTAAACTTGAATTTGACTCCGAGAGTATCCCCTTTGACGAGCTTGGCCGTACTTTCCCCGATACCGAAAAGCGAGGCAGGTCCCGACCCGCCAGCTCGTCTCCCGCCACCACCCATTCCTAGACCCCCGGCGGCTCCACCCTTTCGCCACATCCAAATGAACAATCCGAGAAACACCAGGGTCGGTATGAGTCCGGTCAGGGTTGATCTGCGATAAAATTATAATGTAGGACTTTTTTGTAAAACTATTTTTTTTTTTTAAAAAAATATAAATTGAAGGTAAATCTCAATTTAACCAGAGAGTTTGGAACAGGAACCAGAACATATCTAGGAACCGATTCCCTATTTCACAATTTCCGGAAAAAGATTCTAAGTGCTACAAATGTATATATACAAATACAACACAACTTCATATGATATTCGTTTTTTTTCTATTGATCCTCTGCATATAATATGTTTAATTAGAGGCTTAGAAAATCACTGGATAAAAAAAAATATATGATTCGATAACTGAATTTTATAAGCAAGAAAAAACTCTTTTCAATGATTATTTTTTTTTCCTTGAGCGCTTATCTAGAGAAATGATTGATAAATCTTCCATCCCAATTCCTTGTAAACTGGCAATTCTAAGAAAAGAACTTTATAGGTACATATTCAATAGTAGATCCTATATTTTTTCTTTAAAAAAATGATTACTCGAGAAAAGTCATGCCAGCCCCTCAGGATTTAGTTCATGAACGAAAATCTGCAGGGAGGAAAAGATTTCGGCAAACATGTACTATTATAGTGTACGCACAAATTAAGCGTTTACGTTTTGTCCCTTTGTTTAAATTGAGGATGTCTTTTTATTAATTATCCATCGATTCAAAATTTTAAAATAAGTTTTTAATAAAAAAAAAGGATTTGTCTTTTGAAAAATTATATTATCGTCTGCGTTCTTATTTCTTTTAATTTCTAAAATATTCCTTTTTTTTAGGATAATGAGTAAGTTATTTTATATTACATTTTTATATATAATATTACATACAAGGCGAAGAATAAAAACCTATTTCCGTTTTTTTTAAATGGCTGCTAACGCCAAACGATAATTTTATTAATTGCCACGAGGCCATTTTGAAAAGGGCATAAATTAGCGCTCGGAATGCAGCGTTTAAAACGCTTCAATTTGCGGGCACTAATGGGCCCTTGGATAAAGTTGTCGCGATGGAATACGATCTCCATTAAGGAGAATCCCGTTCCGACACCAACTAAGGGAAAATGTTACGGATATGGTAACAAGAGTGAAGAAGACTTCCATGACGTTTGTTTTTAAAACGATCTGTTAAATATCTAGACAGCATTTCTATTGGAGATTTACGAGTTTCGAAGGTGTTGAAAGTCGGTCTTATACAAAACGCAAAAATAAGCGTTTTAAAGTATTAAAAATATATCATAACCCAATTACCAGTGCCTAATTTCCTGGAGGAGCACAAGTATATTCTAACAACCAGAAAAATCAGGCTTCTACTGAAAAATGGTTTACCAGACAGATGGAATACTGCTTTTTGGATCTCCAGCAACAGACTCTCGGAGTTATACTCAAGGATTAGAGGAGAATCTAAGGAGAAAAAAAAACAATAGAAGATATATTCAAATCCAATTTTTATGAGAAGTATGCGAGTACATTCAGAAGATAAGATCAATGCGATCAAAAATAAATGTAATATATTTTAAGTAAAACCGGGCCGGGCCTGAAAAATAAATAAAACCCGGACCGGTCATAACAAAAATCCGAGCTTGGTCATGCAATTGGTAGCTCTGCAGGTTTCTGATATATATATATATATATATATCCAATATTCATATTTTATCTATATTTATAAAAGTGCGTAATATACAAAAAATTATTCATTAAAAGTTTACATCAATGAAAAAACAGCTGGGGACGCCATTTTGATTACCCATACCATTATTAAGAAATTTTAAACGAGAGGCCAATTTTATTCCTATTTCTGACGCAAACTTTATTAAAGAATTTACCTGATCATCCGAGATAATAAAGAAGCATGTTAGCGCAATTTAATAGTAATTTTTTCAACATGAGAATAATTACTACTTGGATTTACCAAAATGGCGAGTCCAGCTGATTCTCATTCAACGACGCTTCCAAGTGCATTATTATGAATGATTGGTCAGTCTAGGTATTATTATATGTCATTGTAAGTATATACGTTAGGAATGCTTCGCGATTCATTTTAGGTGGGTTTAGCTTGCTCTAATATAGTTCGAACGAAAACCAAAATTCACTTTTCCAAAATTGCCGGAGCTAGAATCGGAACCGCTCTTTAAAAAATATCCGGGAAAACAGCCATTTTCTTTTTAGTACAACCCCAATTTCTCAATTTACCCACTAGGGATGTAGACCTTGGCTGGATACATAATCCGAAGATTGGGACAGACAGTAATTCATCGATCACCAAAGAAATTAAGGAGAGGAACACTAGATCCCATTTTTTCCCTTCCTCCGGAAGTAGTAGAACAGTTAATTTAAAAAATTTATACTTGGCAAATAAAAATAAGGATTTTTTTTTAAAGAAAATCCTCAAAAAATCCAATATTTTTTAAATTCGTACACAAAAGTATTTTTTTTTTCGATTTACCAAGAGGAGTTATATAATGATCTTAAATAAAAACCCTTCGAATTCAGTTTTATAGATGACGTTAACGAAACTCTGGCCAGTGAGTGATTGATGTTTTTGATCGTTTTGCAAGTGTTCCAGGTTTCTTTCGAAGCTATCCACGCTTCCTATCATGAACCACGGAATTATCTAAGGGTAAAAAAAAAAAATTAGAAGAAGGCAAAGTTTAAATGGCAGTGTCCTAAATACATTTTTTTTTAAACCTATAAATTTTTCGTAAATTAATAAAAAAAATTGTCTAAACATGCCCCAAAAAATCTTCCATTTTGAATTTATGTAAAAAAATGCTTGATATGAATCAATTATCAGTTAATCGTTATGGTAGAGATCTGCAAAGTTAGGTCCGGTCCGAGTTCGGTCCAATTCTATTTAAAATAATCCGGTTCGGACCAGGACGGGCCTAATATTTTTAAAAAAAAATTCGGGTCAGGTCGGGGCGGACCTTGGAAATTTTTTTTAAATATATCTAAATTTATCAATTTTATATCGAATTTTTTATGTAAAATAACAATATTCGATTTTATTTTATTAAAACTAAACGACAATATAACTAGTGTTGCGTAATCGGCTAATTTTAGCCGACTAAAAACGGCTTAGCCGAGATTTTAGGTGGAAAAATCGGCTAAGCCTAATTAGGCTAAGCCTAAAAATCGGCTAAGCCTAATTAGGCTAAGCTTAAAAATCGGCTAAGCCTAATTAGGCTAAGCCTAAAAATGGGCTAAGCCTAAAAATTGGCTAAAATAAATTAGTCAAAATTCTGCATCGATGCTTAGCATTAATTATTATTTATTTATTTTAGTAAAATAATTTATTTTATTTATATTTAATGTAAATATTTTATTATTATCAACAAATAAACATGATATGATTTAATATTTTTTATTTATATTATTATATTTTGAAATGAAAATAAATTTATTTATTTGATGTTTTTTTAATAAAAAAAATAATATGCTGCTATATTGTAAAAATGTAATATTCTTTATAATATAATTTATTAGTGATTTTCACAATCTTCTTTGTAATTACATCTTTTATTGAGGAATTATATTGTAAATTTTATTAGATAAATAAACAATCTTTTAGGTGAAATCTTTTATCATTTTTTTAAAATTATCTATTTATTATTAAATAAGGTGGATTTTATGAAACTTTTTTGATGTTATTTTATATGATCTTTTTAAGGATAATATTTTAATGTGACAATTGTCATAATCGTTCTTTTATAAGTTTTTTGAATTTTTTTGAAGGAAGTAAGTTAAAATAAGTATTAATAACATGTGTAAATACAAATTTAGTGAAGATGTACCAATGAAAAGTGACAATTGTCATAATCGTTATTTTTAAAGTTTTTCGAATTTTTTTGACGAAAATATGTTAAAATAAGAATTATTAATATGTGTAAATATAAATTTAGTGAAGATGTACCAATGAAAAGTGACAATTGTCATAATGGTTAATTTTAAAGTTTTTTGATGAAAATTTGTTAAAATAAGTATTAATAACATGTTAAATATAAATTTAGTGAAGATGTACCATAGAAAAGTGACAATTGTCATAATCGTTATTTTTAAAGTTTTTTGAATTTTTTTGACGAAAATATGTTAAAATAAGTATTAATAACATGTGTAAATATAAATTTAGTGAAGATGTACCAATGAAAAGTGACAATTGTCATAATCGCTATTTATAAAGTTTTTGAATTTTTTTGACGAAAATATGTTAAAATAAGTATTAATAACATGTGTAAATATAAATTTAGTGAAGATGTACGATAGAAAAGTGACAATTGTCATAATCGTTATTTTTAAAGTTTTTTGATTTTTTTGACGAAAATAGTTAACTTGCATTGATATTGATTTTAAAATAGAAAAAAAAGTTTACCCAAATTTTAAACAAGATTGTCTGGTGAAAATTGGTAAAAAAATAATAATTTCTAACTTAGGATTAGATATTATGATATAAATTTTGCATATTAATTTCTGACCCGATGAACAAATGTAATAAAATGCCAATTTGCTCCTGTTTTTGGGGAAGAATCTATTATTACCATATGTTTTTCTATGGCATATACTCAGGCAATTTTAATTTTACAATCTATATTTTTACCCATTTACATAAAAGAAATTTTAAAAATAACGATTATGACAATTGTCACTTTTCTATAGTACATCTTCACTAAATTTTTATTTAAACATGTTATTATTACTCATTTTAACATATTTTCGTCAACAAAAATCAAAAAACTTGAAAAATAATGATTATGACAATTGTCGCTTATCTAGAGTACATCTTCATAAAATTTTTATTTAAACATGTTATATATACATATTTTAAAATATTTTCGTCAAAAAAATTCAAAAAACTTTAAGAATAACGATTATGACAATTGTCACTTTTCATTGGTACATCTTCACTAAATTTATATTTACACATGTTATTAATACTTATTTTAACATATTTTCGTCAAAAAAATTTAAAAAATAACGAATATGACAATTGTCACTTTTCATTGTCTTAACTAAATTTATATTTACACATGTTATTAATACTTATTTTAACATATTTTCGTCAAAAAACTTTAAAAATAACCATTATGACAATGTCAATTCTCTATGGTACATCTTCACTAAATTTTATTTAAACATGTTATCAATACTTATTTTAACATATTTTCTTCAAAAAAATTCAAAAAACTTATAAAATAACGATTATGACAATTGTCACTTTTCTATGGTACATCTTCACTAAGTTTTTATTTTAACATGTTTTTACTATTTATTTTAACATATTTTCTTCAAAAAAATTCAAAAAACTTTAAAAATAACGATTATGACAAATGTTACTTTTCATTGGTACATCGTCACTAAATTTATATTTACACATGTTATTAATACTTATTTTAACCTATTTTCTTCAAAAAAATTCAAAAAACTTATAAAATAACGATTATGACAATTGTCACTTTTCTATGGTACATCTTCACTAAATTTTTATTTAAACATGTTTTTAATACTATTTTAACATATTTTCTTCAAAAAAATTCCAAAAACTTATAAAATAACGATTATGATAATTGTCACTTTTCTATGGTACATCTTCACTAAGTTTTTATTTTAACATGTTTTTACTATTTATTTTAACATATTTTCTTCAAAAAAATTCAAAAAACTTTAAAAATAACGATTATGACAAATGTTACTTTTCATTGGTACATCTTCACTAAATTTATATTTACACATGTTATTAATACTTATTTTAACCTATTTTCTTCAAAAAAATTCAAAAAACTTATAAAATAACGATTATGACAAATGTCACTTTTCATTGGTACATCTTCACTAAATTTATATTTACACATGTTATTAATACTTATTTTAACCTATTTTCTTCAAAAAAATTCAAAAAACGTATAAAATAACGATTATGACAATTGTCACTTTTCTATGGTACATCTTCACTAAATTTTTATTTAAACATGTTTTTAATACTTATTTTAACATATTTTCTTCAAAAAAATTCAAAAAACTTTAAAAATAACGATTATGACAATTGTCAATTTTCTATGGTACATCTTCACTAAATTTTTATTCAAACATGTTATTAATACTTATTTTAACATATTGTCGTCAAAAAAATTCAAAAAACTTTAAAAATAACGATTATGACAATTGTCACTTTTCTTTGGTACATCTTCACTAAATTTATATTTACACATGTTATTAATACTTATTTTAACCTATTTTCTTCAAAAAAATTCAAAAAACTTATAAAATAACGATTATGACAAATGTCACTTTTCATTGGTACATCTTCACTAAATTTATATTTACACATGTTATTAATACTTATTTTAACCTATTTTCTTCAAAAAAATTCAAAAAACGTATAAAATAACGATTATGACAATTGTCACTTTTCTATGGTACATCTTCACTAAATTTTTATTTAAACATGTTTTTAATACTTATTTTAACATATTTTCTTCAAAAAAATTCAAAAAACTTTAAAAATAACGATTATGACAATTGTCAATTTTCTATGGTACATCTTCACTAAATTTTTATTTAAACATGTTATTAATACTTATTTTAACATATTGTCGTCAAAAAAATTCAAAAAACTTTAAAAATAACGATTATGACAATTGTCACTTTTCTTTGGTACATCTTCACTAAATTTATATTTACACATGTTATTAATACTTATTTTAACATATTGTCGTCAAAAAAATTCAAAAAACTTATAAAATAACGATTATGACAATTGTCACATTAAAATATTATCCTTAAAAAGATCATATAAAATCATCAAAAAAGTTTCATAAAATCCACCTCATTTAATAAAAAAGATAATTTAAAAAAAAATGATAAAAAAATTATAAAAGATTTCACCTAAAAGATTGTTTATTTATCTAATAAAATTTACAATATAATTCCTCAATAAAAGATGTATTTATAAAGAAGATTGTGAAAATCACTAATAAATTATATTAAAAAGAATATTACAATTTTACAATATAGCAACATATTAATTTTTTTATATAATTAACATCAAATAAATAAATTTATTTTCATTTGAAAATATAATAATATAAATAAAAAATATTAAATCATATAATGTTTATTTGTTGATAATAATAAAATATTTACATTAAATATAAATAAAATAAATTATTTTACTAAAATAAATAAATAATAATTAATACTAAGCATCGATGCAGAATTTTGACTAATTTTTAGCAGATTTATATAGGCTTAGCCGATTTTTAGGCTTAACCTAATTAGGCTTAGCCGATTTTTAGTTTTAGCCGATTTTTAGGCTTAGCCTTATTAGGCTTAGGCGTAGTTTTTAGCCGATTACGCAACACTAAATATAACACATGTCTTTTATTTTGAGTAATTTATAAAGATTAATTTTTATATTTAAATAAATTCGGGTCACTATATTATGGTACCCAATAATTGTAGCCAATCAAAAACTGGAAAACTAGAAATAATAATAGTATTGGCTCAAATTTGTTTTTTTTTTAAAAAGTAGCTTTCAATTGGACAATAACAAAACAACTCTTATATACAAAAATGATAATATAATTATATTCTTTTTACACTTATAAAATGCATATATTATTTATTATCATATATGAATATTGATAAAAAAAATTTTATACTTAAACAAAAATAATGGTTTAAATTATATAACAAAATTTAATTTTCAATAAATTTACTAATTTACTGTCATATCGTTAATTTAGTTTAACGGGTGTCTATAATCAAGTTTAGCAGTTTTGTTTAAATTCAATAAAGGTTCCCAGTAGTCTGGGTCTAGAAAGGGAGGGGGTGTAAAAATCACCTAAATAGGGGGTTGATGTCAGGATGGGCATCCGATTGTAAGAACCTTGCTGAAAAATACAGAGGAAAAAACTGGCCAACCCCTGGGTAAACCTGGAAATCGCCATTAAGCGGAGAGAAGAAGAAGATAATATATATGTACTATTTAGAATTTCTATTCAATTCTTTAGAAGTAGGAATATGTATATATATTTTTTATTTTTTTAAATCATAAAAGTGCTTTTTTTTTGAGTCTCATTATTATAATGATCTAACTTTTATTCAATAACAAGTATCAAATAATAGAATTATAATGCATAGACGTTATAGTATCACCAGAGGAATCAATACCTATATTTGATCAACTACTTAATAAATCATTCACATCAGGGTAAACAATAAAAATTAAATATATTTTATATACAAAATACAAAATAATTACTGTCCCTAGAATGGCAATATTTAGATTCCTAAATCTTGTGGGAATCGAAAACTTTGCCTCAGTGTGTTTGGCAATATCTTCTACATTTCTCCTTTAAAAAAATATTTTTGGTTCAATAAAACTGAAGATAGATTCTCTTGCTTTTCATGATAAGAGCACCAGAAGAATTTTTATCATAATTTTATTTTGATGGGTGAGATGCAGTAAATGGTCATTGGTCAGTTATTTAAAAGTTGTTTCAAAATATGGAAGATAGGAAACAACTTATTTGGATCCAGCAATTCAGAGGCTTCTTTATTAAAAAATAAATTGGTAGATGAATCTTTTTATCCTAATCTTCACATACTGACAGCGAGTGTTGTTAAACGGCTCGAATTCGAGCCGGTTTTTAAAAACGGCATACTCATTATTTTAGCCGGAAAAGATATTCTTTAAAAAACTTCGAGATTTCTGTGATTGTTCTAGAACCTTGTTCCTTCTAAGAACGAAATCTTCAGGGTTGCCTAATATTTTTCTGGATGAAACATGGAGTTAGCCCCGTTTGACAACACTACCGACAGCTGAGTTCTCTTCCAAGCCTCGATATTTAGGATTCTTATCAAATTATTCTTCTATTTCCCTTACCATTACGATTGATAGAACTGCCCTTTCTTAATTTGTAATATAAATCGCTATGAATTAACGACTTCTTTTTTTTCGTAAAGAATTTCACAAGTTTAAGAATTTTTGTAAATTAGGAGAAAAAAAATGATTTAGGCCACTATTTTTATTTTTACATTTAAAAAATGGCTTATGTTTTTTTTCTCATTAATTAATAAATTTATTTATATTTTTTGATATTTAGGACACAAAAAATAATGTAAATTTTTATACGTTGGAATTAGTAGGACTCGCAGATCCGCCAGAACTAGGCGGCGTTTCTAAATTCTCGTTAGGTTGAGGACTTTGAGGTAAACCGAACCCAAAAAAGGATCGATGAACAGCACCTTCGGGGCTCCTCATAACTACCCTCACCCATTTCTTGTTGACAACTTCCAATTTGTCGACCTAAATATAGTGTACGTTTATGTGTAAATATATAATTTTTTTTTTAATCTGTGAAGGCTCGTCAAAATAATATTATATCGTCAGTCTAACTGCAAGATTTCTTAAGTAATTAGTGTACCCAAGATGTTAGTTAGAAAGGGGGGGGAGCTAGGACTTTTGTTGATGGCCATTTATATATTTTATGGGATAATTTTCAGGCCTCTCTAAGAAGGCCTTTGAATTGTATTTAAAAAATAATGATTTTCCATTATAGTCAATATTTTAAATAAAATGCAGAGATTGAAGTAGAAGGGCCAAATTTTATACTAATGAATTTATTAAATTCCCACCCCACCCCCCTTGTTTATGTGCCAATGTGGTAACATAAAGTCAACAAATTAGCTTATTTTAAAATATAAATTTTAAAAAAAATATATCTTTGCCTATCCCTTCAATTTTTATTAAAACAATTGTGTATGATAAGGCCCAACATATTATTTGTAGGAATTTTTTAAATAAAATTCACAATTATTTTACAGTGTAAAAAAAAATAAAATTAAAATGTAGAAAATTGTAAATTAATATTATATACAATCAAACTAGAGGTGTGCGGGATCTATTTTTCTCACGAGTATTTTAAGCAACAGATTGTATAGAAAATTCATGTTTTTCAAATGAAATAAATGCATCTATATTTAAAAAAGATGGCTATCTTAAAAAGAATTGGCCATATCTAAAGGAAATCCTGGCCCAGACTGGTAGATTTTTGTATCATATCCCTAATTAAATTTAAACCCATTTCAGAAATAAAAAGTATTCACAATTTCCAGACTCATGGGTTGGGCGAGGCTTTGTAGCCATCTATTACTTTTTTAAATAATAATCTTGATATATGAGTGCCAAGTCCTAAATGTAAAATAAATTTGCCTTTATTTTCCTCAAAAATTTCCTTGATCTAAACTTAATTTTTATTCCTTTATGTTAACAAGTTATAAAAAAAAAATGTATCATACCAATCCTTTGTCAAGATAATCGTTAACAAATTCTTTCCATGTAATCTCTTTGTACCGCATTTCATAGAAGGCTACTAATGCAGCAGAACCTATACCAGCAAGCAAAGCTAGAGCAGTTAATTTGACATTATTTCCCCCCTTTCTAATTTTGTATACAAAGTTGTTTAATAAAAAAATATAATTTATATAATATTTTTTTTCAAAAAAAGAATAAAAAAATTGAATAGCTTAAAAATTTTCCATTTCTAAACTGACATCTTTGTAAATTATGCTTAATTCATGCATATTTAACTTAAAATTATATATTTTTTAAGTTATATCATTAATCATTATAGTTTCTACCCAGATCCAAATGTAAATTCAAAGTTCCATTCACTCTTTTTTTTATCAGTTGATGGATTAGGTTTAGGTGGTGGGAGTGATTTGGATTCTTTTTTAGGAGGATTTGTTTCATCTTTGGGGAAAATAAATATTTATTATAATAAATATAGTAAAAAAAATTATAAATACTTTCAGATTTTTTATTTGGTTGTGAGGGTTTTTGATTAGGAAAATATTTCTCGAATCCTTTTGGTGCAGGATTGGTGGAATAGTGATTATATAAAAATTTACATGGTTGATATCTATATCTTCCTCGCAGCAAAAATTTTTGAAGCTATAAAAGATAAGATTTTTTAAAATTAAAAACATAATTAACTAACTTGATAGCTAAAAAATTTATAATATTTTGGTAAGATCTTTAGTGGAATAGGCATTGCTTAAATTTTTTAAATCCATGCATATGAGATTGGATAGATGTATAAATTATTTTAAGAAATTAAATAATAACTATTAATAATTTTATATTTATATTTATTACATATTGATTTTATATATAAAACAGATTTACAAGTTATATCCATCTTTAAAATATTTCGTATGCCTACTTAGATTAGTTAATTTCAATTTTATTATCTAAAGTAAACTTTATTGTTTGTCATCACGAAACATCAATCATATATTTATGTATATATATGATAATCATGATAATAGAATCAAAATAAACTCTAATGTAAAATGTATGAAATATAATAATATCTTATATAGCATTCATCACATTTCCCCACCCTTGAGATTTTAAAACTTCTCAATCAGAGCATATATATGCTTCTTCGATCGTTGTGATTTCTCATTGTTGATTCTAGTTCTCGGAGAATGAAGATATATCCTGTAGACCCAAATTTTTACCAGTCTTTTTTATTTCGTCATTTGGGTGGTCCTATATTTTCTAAATTTATATGTATTTCCAACTCCATATTTTCTTCCTCCCTCCTTGACCATGGATAATTATTTTATTATACTGGTTGTTATATAGCGCAAATTTTTATATGTCGCATTCATTTAATTTACACAATTTATATTAACTTCACTTAATAATTTCATTTAAATTATTTAATAGTTTTTTTTATATATATAAAGAATAAATTTATTATTTTTGAAATATTTATATATATTTTTATAAATAAAAATCTTAAATTTTTTTGTTAAATCTTGTCTAACTCCCTGCCAACCTTAACATGGTAGCAGCGGAATTTACAATTTTAAAATCTTTTAAATTTTATTTTTCTACAAAATATAATATAGATCAAATGGATAAATCAACAATGAGGAGAATTACTAAACTTAATATCAAACTAGACGAATCTATCATGGATAATGGAGTTGTTATAAATAGAAATGATTACTAAAATTAGGTATATGAACTTACAAGAACCAATATGATAGTTAGACAATTGGTTATGAATTCTATAGAGTAAAACCAATGACGATTTACAAAATATTCTAAATCCAAGTAAAAAAAAAAGAAGTTATTAAAGAGTTGTATAAAATAACTTTATAAAATTAAATATAAATCAGTAATAATGAACATATTTGAATACTTAGATGACCTTAAAAAATATTTGCTTAATAATGAATTAACAGTTAAATTTATTGATGACCTTACCCATTGATATTTTTTGCATTTTTGATTTCTGGGATTATGACCAAATGTGGGAATTAACTGAATTACCTAAAGATAAATTCTTAGCTATAATTAAAAAATATTATGTAGATAGGCCATAATTAATTCAATTCCCGGATCATTATAGATTTCATATTGACAAAATTCAGTCTAAAAAAAATTATTATAATTGAAAAATATTGAATTAGAACCAAATATTCAAAATGAAAGAGATTCTTATAAACTAAAAGAGATAAATTATATAATAAAATTTGAAACATTTGTGATTATAGAAAATAAGGAAATAAACATTAAAGAAAATAGTGAAAATAAGGAAATAGACATTAAAGAAAATAATAAAATAAAAACTTTTATAATTGATAAAAAATTTTAAAAAACTGTGAAAATAAAGAAATTTCAAACAATTATTATTAAGAGAGGCAAGGTGATAGTTAAACATCTTGATGATAAAAAAGTTTTTAAGAATATGATATGGAAATCATATATTAGAAATGGAAGGCTAAATAAAATTCTTTTTAGAAAGAACAATTAAAATAAAATTTATGATATGAAAAAGTTGTTTATATTGAAAAATAAGGGAGTAAAATTTTAAAAAATAAAAATAATTGAAATTTAATTTTAATTAAAAAAAATTATTATACAAAACGCTACAATTAAAGATATTTAAAAAAAAAGGATGATAAAATTGAATTTTAATATTGATAAAAATTATTATATAAAACGCGTGATTAAAAATAAATATAAAGTGATATATTATAAAAAACGCGGTATTAAAAATAAATGATATATTCTGAAATCTATTATATAAAACGCAAAATTGAGAAACGTAAAAAGCTATTATCTAAAACGCAATATATATAATACAAATTAAAATGCGACCAATCATTCATTTTATTTCGATTATTTAATATTTGATTAATTTATTCTACTTCAATTATTCTTAATCAAATTCGATATTCAATAAATTAATACTATTTCGATTATTCGACGATTCTTATTTTATTATTATGATGTTATTCATTAATACCTATATTCTAAAATCATTCAAAATCTTCGCATATATATTTAATAACAAACAATGATAATAATTAAAAGTAGGATGACAAAGTCAAATCACATGAACAACTAAACCGTTTTTCAAAGATTTGGAGGGAGTAAGACAAGATAAGAAAGTTTACGAACAAAAACCAACTAATACTAGATATGACAATACCCAGATGATGCCATATATTGAGAACAACAGACTTTATGATAATAATTACAAACATCAGTTTAGACAACCATGGCAGATTTGACCATATTATGGCAACCAAAGATTTAACAACCAAAACAACTATTATATTTCAAGACGAAATTATGACAGATTTTACGATCAAAATAGATGAGAAACCTTTAACACGAAAGATTAAAGTCTAAAGAGAACCTAAGCGGGGTTTTTTTAGAGGGTGGAATGAATAACATGGATAATTATTTTATTATACTGGTTGTTATATAGCGCAAATTTTTATATGTCGCATTCATTTAATTAACACAATTTATATTAACTTCACTTAATAGTTTGATTTAAATTTTTTAATAGATTTTTTGTGTATATAAAGAATAAATTTATTATATATTTAGAGTTAAACACTTTTAAAATATATTAATTAAATAAAAGTTTTAAAATCACTTTCAATTTTGTTCTTCTCTCTGCCAACTTTAACACCCTATATCCCGTTTTCGCAGTTTATCAGCAGGCCTTGGTTATCTCTCTTTTCTACCGAATAGGAATATCTACCAGTATTTGATTTTATAATTCCTTCTCTCCACCCTCAATTGATTTCATTATGTACCCATCATGTTGTGATACCATGCTATTTCTCATTTGAATGTGTTCATTATGAGCAGCCTTCTATCGGATATTAGATGGTTTCATCTATTTGGATGTAACCAATCTAATCCAGTTTTTAGATTATGCCCAAACAATCGTTTTTCCTGTTAAGGTCCATTTGATTTGTGCCCGTCGATTCTGTATTCTGTCAAAACTTCTCCCATCGCTTTCTCTTGCTCCTTAATATTTTCTCTTGTGGCAAAATATTGACTCCTATATGTTCTTATTTTTCTTTCAGTTAACATATTCGTTTTGGGATGGTAAGGTGTTAAATGTATAAATTTAATATTTTTCTCTATACAGAATCTTCAAAATTCTCCAAAAATAAATAGAGAGCCTTTATCTCGCACATTTTATCTTAGCGTTTTTAAACATGTAAACCATTTCCTTAGCACTATGCTCATTGTTGTAGACGTTGTCTCTCTCATCAACTTGACCTCAACCCAAGAATGTGCATCAACTCAACTAGCCATGAATAGGAATCGATAAATCTTGCGAAATCTAGGTGAATGTGTCCCATAGCGTATTAAAGATGTTCCACTAATATAAAGGAATCTCCATTGTATTCGACCGTTTGTTTGACGTGAAATACATTGATAAACGTGTTGTTCAATGTCTTTCAATTAGGTCACCAAAAATACATTCTAAAAATTGATTTCACAGCATTTATTCCTGAATACTCCCTGTATATGAGAGTTAATATTGATTTCCTTAACACTGTTAGAATTACCAACTTTATCTTTCATTCAATGTCATCTCGATCTACTGATAATTCTTCGCGATGATTATTAAAACAAATTAAGTCTACAAATTTTTTCGCATAAAACCACACCTATCCTTGCTCGATGCTTCTATTTACTTTATTTACCAATCTATCTTTCCTTGTTTCTTTCTAGAGTTCAACTGGACCAATATATATATCAAGCTAATCTATAACTCTAATTTTTAAAGCATGTTTCTGATTGTTATTCGACTCCACACTTGCTACTAGAAGTGTAAATAATGCATCAGCCATTATGTTTTCTTTTCCATGGACAATATACAATTTCAAAGTGAATTTATGTTTTAAAAAATAATTCTTTTAGGTTAATTATATTCTGATAGTTGGTAATAGAGCATTAAAAATTTAAATTATTCTATTTATAATTTATGGAGGGGTATCATTATAATTAAACCGGCTTAATTAAATAATGAGGGGGGGGGGGTAGGTATTGGCTTTTGAAGAGGGTTTGCATCTAGAAAATATCCTGTCTTAAACGCTGACCAGACATCAACAATTATCTTAAATGATCTAATCTTGTCAAGAGTAGCCACATATGTAACCGACGGTTGGCCTAGGAAAGTTAACGTAAACATGCAAAATTTTATTCAAAAAAGAATAAAATTATCAAAGATGAATAGTCTTTTACGAGGTTAGGTATTGCAAGAATCACCAGGACATCGAGAATGACACGTATGAAAACACTTCTTTAGGACATGTATGGTGGCTAACAGTAAATAATGATATTGAAAAATTCAGATTATATCACAAAATCTTCACTTGCTTTACATGTCTTAAAATTTGTACCCCAAGTCCCGTTAAATAAATTTAAACCAGAATACAATGAAAAAGAAGGTTATTACATGAAAAATACAGTAAGGTTTGAGATACAAGAAAAGGTATGGATAGATTTTCAGGGAGATCCATGGTGGGGTTAGTGAACAGATCGATTCGATGTTATATCTCGTAAAAGGAGAAAAAGGATTATGGAAAAGACATTGGTGGCAATATTATAAAACCCTACTGTTAAAATAAGCGCGATACCGCTATTTTCCAAAAAAAGGTAGTGCGCTTTTAGCTACTTTAAAAAAAAAATTAAAGATTCGTTTTTATTTTTTTGGGTATAATGTAATTTATTTTTGTATATAAACAAAAAATTAACATTTATAA